ACATATTTTGTAAATAGTGAGAAAAAAATACAATTTATTTAAATTTTAAATTATTATAATTTAATTATTATTACATTTTTTAAATGTTTTGAACCATTTACTTTACTGCAATTTAAATATATCAAAGGAATATATTTTTTTTATGTTGATATATATTGATATATTGTATAATATTGTTATTTTATAGGTATGTGTATTGGCTTATCTGTATGTTATAAAATCTATGCTATAGTGCAATTCAACTATGCAACTGTGTAAAATGTATACAAGGAATACTTATAAGTTATTGACTATTGTGCCATAATTTGTATTGTTATTTAGTATTCCTTGTCATAAATAAGTGCATAATAATAACAACATAATAAAACTTTTCAAGTTTTATCTCACCTTTATTAAAATACCTATTAGTATTCTAAAAGAATACCATTTGTTATACACATATATAGCAAAATCTATACGTATACCCTCTAGTTTTTTTACCAAAACACCACTGGTGATCGTTATCATTTCTTATCAACGAATAGTTGATTCTGTAATAAATTCAGCTGATTAATCTACACCAAATAGGTTTGTTTTGAAAACGGATTTCTGATCACACCCCTCACACTACACTAAAACTAGTGTACACTTTACTTGTAAACTTTCTTCAATATTTTTTTCAATGAAAAAATGGTTTGTTAACTGGTGATCTGACTCGTAAGGATGTCGAAAATCGAATAAGCGAATAATCGAAAAGGCTGGTATAGCAATCAAACAAATATTATGTATTTCTAATATTTCTTATTATATTATACTCTTCTCAAAAATCGTTTAGGTATATTATGCATTTATGCGGGTATTATAAACGAGTACCTTATCGAGTGATTACTCGCGGCATGCCGTGTGTCGTGTGTGTCGTCCAAGTCCAATTACCAATTTTGTAAATACACCATTTTAAAATCAATCATTTTAAACTTTATCGTATTTGTAATAACTGAAATTAGTGTTCTAGGTATTCCGTGAAGGAATTTTGTACAGTTTTATTACAATAGGCATATTATATTTATAAATTATAATATTCAAAGGTTACTAATTTAAATTTATAAACTAGCTAAATTTGAATGCTCGGATAAGCATATTTACAGTGGTAAATTGTAAATTACGTACCTACATATTATAAAAAAAACAATATCACCAAGTATTATTGAAATCCATAAAGGTACAAATGTACAATAATATAACTAATATAATATCTAAATTAAATATTCTTTATTTAAGTTTAGTAGTAATTATTAAGTATAGGTGTAAGTTATTTATATAAATAAATAACTTACATTATTTTTTTTATTGTGTAGCCTACGGCCTATCTACTGAAAATTCATAAATAAATAAAATTCAAGAGCGATGTAATCAATTATTAAGTTCTAGATAATATATTATAGTATAATATTTTCTTACTATAGACCTATTATAAATGTTAGTTCCTAGAGTATATGGAAAAAATGATATACCCAACATGCAAGTTCTTACACTGTAAAATAAATTTCGTATGTTAGTTCCTACTCCTACACAGTGAAAAAATGATTCCTAACCTAACCTGAAAAAAAAATTACCTAGTTATAAAAAAAAAAAGTTATAATAATGACAATAATAATATTTGATGATTTAATATAATATGTATATTTAATATTATATTAACAAAATGGACGATGGTATCGGTATGTATAAAACAATCATTTTTAACTTTATTCTTTAACCTATTCTATTTCTAAACCATATAATAATACGATTTTGAATATGACCAATTTTCACAAGATTTTTTTATTTTTATTATGTTTGTTTTAAGTGACGAAATTAAAAATCGAAGTCCAATGGGCACTGTAAAAAATTATCAAAAAAAATTAATCAAATCAGACCACTCTACGATGCCTAGAGTTTTTCCCGTAAAGTATGTTTTGAACCAAAAATTATGCATTTTATTTTTGGTCGGCGGTACTGTTGCCAATACGTGTGCACTGTGCACATGCAGTGCGTGTGGAGATAGCCCGGTACAGCATCATAGGCGCAAATAGGGAATTACATTGGCGGGGGCTCAAGCCCTTTAATATATTCAACAAAAATCCCCCCCCCCTTTCACATGTCACACCAAATAAAACTATTACTATTTTTTTTTTTTATTAGCTATGAGTATAAAATTATTACTTATTAATGCACATAATATTATATTTATTATTAACTAGATAATTGGTTACAATATTAAATTTATTCTTCTGCAGTTGGATTTGGCAAAGTCATTTAAAACTGTGATGCTATCAATATTGATGTCTTTTTCAATATTAATTATCCCTTAACTGCTAAATCTTTCTTGGAGCATCATTGATCGCATCCATGTTTTCAACCTCCTCATTGCGGAAAATGACCTTTCACAAGTAGCGGAATTGATTGGCAAAGTTATTGCTACATTAAATAATTTATAATAATTTATATCAAATATTGATGCCCTAGGGCGTTATTGGTGGTTAGGACGGCACTGTATGTAGTGTATACTAAATACATTATACAACAATACCTACCTATACAACTGTCAATATTTAACTCACATTAACTATGTAAACTTGAATACGTTATCAAATATTATACAAGAACGTAAGTTTTTTTGTGTATACGGGTACACGTTTTGTAATAGAAAAAATGCTTCGATCTTAGATTTTATTAGTGATTTCTGACAGCATTTGAATTTAGTCGGTACTCGTACTTTTGAGTGGTCAATATATATTCTGTGTTTTTGAACTTAACGACCATCTACAGTTAGAACTTGGAATAGCTCAATAATTTAGTGTGGAATACTGGTAATAATTGTTCTTCATATTTAAATATAAATTTTATAAATCTACGAAATAGATCCTATAGATTTGTCGATAGTTCTTTTTAGTTTTTTCATATTATGTTCTTTTATGTAGCGACTGCCGACTAATAATATGATTTTACGAACTCCCAAAACCGACCAAGACAATAAACCAATATTACCATAATAATTACTCGTATAAAAATAAAGCCATATTATTTATTTAACATAGCATATATATAATTTTATTTTTACATCGAGTATATTTTTGAAAAATCTAGTTTTTTAATATCGAATTACAAATATTGTTATATACTTGCAGTCACTCAATGGCTAATACTGACTGCAGTGCAGACCAGTCGGGAGCTTTAAAAGTTAAACGTGTTCAACGCAGGGGGTGGAGAGTCCTTTAATTCGGTATATGATGAGGTTGTGCTGCTTGTTTAATGTACCATTATCGGTTATTAATTAAATAAACTGCAGCAGGTAAAAAATAAAATAAAATAGTTAAAATCGCAATGGTTCTATAATAATGTACCTAATTAATTAAAATGTAGATTCGCAGTGTTGAAAATGCAGTCACCGTAGTATCTGATCAAATTTTGAAAAAGTTAAGAATAAAAACAAGTTATGGTCGTTATTTTCGACGTGAAACCCTTTAATTTTAAAATTGAATATTTTAACTACAAAATTTGTTATTTTGACAGATGTTTTAAAGGAGCACACAACACAAAAAATAATTTTTTTTATTTGAAAGAATGTTCAATTCTAAGGATAATGGTATAGGTTTTACGTTTCTACTCACATTATTCAATAAGTTATGAGCAATTGAAAAAAAGACGTGTGACGTCACTGGGCCGGAGTCATCGTAATAGCCTATCTTATACCTGTAAAAGTTCCTCGCTTCACACAACGATTTATCAACCTAAACATTTTATTTTTGCAATTTAATTTACATGTAAATATGTGGTTTTATGTGTTTAAGACGATGCAAGTATCAGAATTGTAATACGATGTTTAGTTTTTTAAATATTAAAAATCTTAAAAAAGACATTTTGGTTAAACCGTACGTTATGGCGAGCGGCGCATTGCGTTCGAAAAACGAGTCCGCCGTTTAACCAAAATGTCTGTTTTAAGATTTTTAATACTTAAAAAACTAAACATCATATTGAAATTATGATTCTTGCATCGTCTTAAACACAAAAAACCACACATTTATACGTCAATTAAATTTTAAAAAGGAAATGTTTAAGTTGATAAATCGTTGTGTGAAGCAAGGAACTTTTACACGTATAAGATAGGCAATTACGATGACTCCTGCCCAGTGACGTCACGCGGCTACTCTACATATCCTAATATTTCTTAGTCATATTTTTTTTTACATCGTATCTTCACAAAATCATTTCATATAACCATAACTACAATAATTTAACATTTAAAAAAAATTTAAAGAATTTTTTTATTTGTGTTGTGTGCTCCTTTAAAAGCTACCTATTATGAAAAGATATTATAATAATTGCATTATTTTAGCCATAAACATAATTTTAAAACACTTAATGATTTTTAATTATATTTTATATAAAATGTATATTTTGATAAAGAGTGTCTACAATCCTAAACATAATTACTTTAGCCTATACATTTTTATTTATAAAATGGGTGGACAAATCACTAGATTATACATAGGTATAAATCATGATTCTGTTTAGAAATTTATCCCAACTCAAGCTTACAAATGTTGTATCTAGCTATATATCAGTCATAACAATATACCTATATATAAGTATATTTTTTTATGCTACAAATGAAGTCTTAAGATGATGAAGGCAGCTCACTGTTTATTTTCTCTCTGAGTTCTGACCTACGCTCAATATGCAGGACAAAACTCATTTACGCTGGATCATTTTTTATTTATTTTTTAAGGTCCATAGTCCATTACAAAATTGATAGAGAATAATATCTGTTTAATATTTGATTTTATCAACTATAATAAATTATACAAAAGTCATCACATTTTTACAATACTTAGTATTACCCAGATACATTTATACATATTTATCCGTTGACTTTGGGATTACACAATTATAATGACAAGAAAAATATTGAAAATAATATTTATTAACTATACATATTATATAAGTTTTCTAGAAAGTAGAAACAATGACTGATAACTGAATATACCATTTAATCGATTATTTTATTTTTATTCAATTTGAACAGAATTTGAATAACTAAATAAGCAATTGCTTTGTTTGCTAAGACAAGTAATTGTTGTAGATTAATCTCACATATACCATATAACACAAAATGATAATCCTCGTGATGTCTTCGTAGAATAAAAAATTTGATCTAAAAAGTAATAAAAATAATTATTCCATATAAATAAATTATTTAGTAGTGTAAGTTTAGACGTTTAGTTAGGAACTTAATACTTTTGTCTATAATAATAAATACAATAAATTATACCTGACGTTTTATTCTAGGATTTCTTTCAATTATGGACCGTTGATGTAAAACTAGACTCATTCGATTTATCTAAAAATCAATAAATAAGGAATACATAGGTAAGTAGTATATATTATAACATTATTTTACTTTTAAATTTGAAACATTCGCTGTTATTTATTTTTTATCTTTTAGTTTGAGTATGAAGTATTTTATTTCGCTAGGTGATGTGTGTTTCATGGGAAGTGACATTGGTAGTGGGCTGTCTAAAAAATTTAGAACTTCGTTAAGATTGCTTTGTTCAGGAGATATATTCGAATGTGGTGTAAAAATATTTGAAAGGTGGGTACCGAAAATATTTGCTTTTTCATCGTCAGATGTAGCTAATGAACTATCTTCTCCTTTCAGGGGATAAGGATGATTTTTAATTTTCATTAAATTTTTAGTGGCTTTCCACAAGGATCCATCGTGTATAATATTTAGGGTTTGATATTTTGACTTGAAGGAGTCAGATTTGTAGATTTTGATTTGTTTTTTAATTGTATTGGACGAATCTACGGAAATAACGGAATCTACGTTTCTCGGCAATTAGTGTTTTTGTATAGGGAGACAGTTCGTAAGGATTTCTTTTAACTGGGTGATTTTGATTGAGTGTATAGGAAAAGTTCAAGACAGCGGCTTGTATTGAGGTAACAAAGTTCTGTGTTGCATTTTCTATTTCATCTGTGGTTTTCAGTGAGATTTTTAAATTTGTATTGTTTTCAAGGTTTGACATGAATTTGATCCAGTTTACTGGGCCTTTTTATAATGAAGGTTTGGGAGGGATGAAGGTGGGTGCATATTATGATGTAAGCATTATTAGTGTTAATATAGTCTTCAAGTATTATGTTAATATTGTGGACTTAATAAACAAGAGTTGTATAATATAGAGTGTTAATATAGAGTATTTTATCATAAAAACCTCTTTTGCTGTGGCGTGACCAATTCCATATAAGAGTATGATATTGATCATTTTTATAATTATTGTATCAGCTTCCATAATTACACGGGCAACATCTACAGTGTCGTCTTCAGTAAATAGAAATCTGTAGAATAATGATAAAATTATAGAACCCACATTTCCTGCAATACAGCTCATTATGACAGGCAAGCCATATATTGATCGATTTATATCTTTTAAACATTCTATTGCTTCCAAATACAAGTCTCTGAAAGTACTTATGGTTGAAATAATTTTCGGAATTTGTTCATTTATAATGTATACAATCCACTTTATGTATGATATAAGTAGCATGTATTCATAAAACGCAACGCATTCACAAATACGTGAAATCACCACAGAGATCTAAAAAAAAATATTTATGATACTATCGAATTTCAATTCAATGTGTTTAGAAATTATATTTAAGACTGCAGGGTCTCAATAATATCGAGAAATGAAGAACGAATAATTAACTTTTTGGTATGCACATAATTATTATTTAAATATTTTTAGATGTTGATGATTACCAGAGATATATAAAAGTCTACAGTTTTCTGCCGTATGCGTTCGGATTTATATATCATGTAGTATAATGGACTCATATTATAACATATAAAATGGACAAGAATACCAAAGTTGAAAAGCCAATGCGAGCCAATCCTGAGAGCTTTCAGACGTATCAATTTATCATGAATTCCTTCAAGTTTAATCAATATCACAGACAGTTTATTATCATAAAATAGTCGCCACCCATTGCATAAGAATCGCCCAATGATCATCATCTCATAGCAACTAATCATTACTAACGATGTAACGTCAAATAAGTTTGGATCAATATGTATGATCTGTAAAAATATTATATTATTTTATTATTATAATATATAGTAGAAAATATTATTTAATAAGATACATATTCAAATATATTATACAAACTAGAAGCAATCGCTAAACATTTAAAGAATTAATATATAGTGAGTGAGTTAATGGTACCATAAACATGATTTCCTAGGCCATATTTGTTCAGATACAAATATACAATCACGAAACTTTTAATGAATTAATATAATGAGTTAATGATATTATAAACATGATTTCGTAGCCGACATTGTCCCATTAAATTTTTTTTTTTTATTGATATAATATGAATATATATATGGGCGTTTTAACGATTTGAGGAAATGAAAACTTAATTAAATTCAATGGTTGGTATATTGTAAATTATATAAACTTGTTATTATTTGGCCTTCGTTATCATCTTCGACAACTTTGACAGGTCATATAAAGTAAATTAAGTATGAAGCTATTGAAGCTTATTGTAATAATATTTTTTTGTATTTCACCATGTAGTCCAAAAATATGAGAATTTATGGAATTTAGTGTACCTGAAAAATAATGGATACAACCATAGGTAATAAGATTTATTTATTATATTATAAGGATAATAATTGTAACTCGGTGAGAAATTAAAAATGTTAAATGTTTGTGTGAATGCTCCAATTACTAATTAGTCATATGGTTTGAAACAATTAAAATCAAATTAAATTAAATATTGTTTACCCAATGGCGGTTTGAGTCGTAAATTGTTTTTAATCCACAAAAAATTGTCGTACATCGCAAGATACTGAACATGATTGCCGTATTTAGTTTGCTTTGATTGTAGCTTATACTACCTAAACCCCAGATCAAAAAAAACTGGTTAAAAGTATTTAATATTGATCGTACACTCATAATAGTTGACTATGTATTTTTTATTCACAAATTTATTAGGTTATTAGAAATATTATACTATTAGTGTTTCAGATTTTTTCAGATTTGCACGATTGAGGTATGATTCTAACCTATTGAAAATTAATTTTTTTAATGTGATGTGTATATACGAACGGCCAATAAATTATTTGCTTAGTCATATTTTTAATAATGTATATTAAGACAAATCGTTGAAGTGGAGACCGACAATTGTGGTATTAATAATTTATTTAACACTTACATTATATAATTAAAAGTTATGATTCATTATGGCTATCATAATTTTATATATTTTAAGTATAGTTTAAGGAGGTGGGATAGGTAGATGTTTACTTTAAGTCGATCATAATACGTTATTGAAAATACTAACTATAGATGACAAGTGACAAATGACGCGCTTACTTGAAAATTCGTTTTAAAATCACGAAAATGTGCAAATTATTTTCTATTTAAATATTTATGAAAACATAAATTTTTATGTTTCTTAAACACCAATAGAGAATATTATACTATATACTTTAGTAGTATGTCAACACTCCATAAAATGTTATTGAAACAACATAATTTTATATTTACTAATTTATTACCTAGTGCATGGGATTTAAATAAATGTTATTATTATTATATATATTTATATAAAAAAAAAAAACATTATTTTTAATTAACAGATAATGGTATACTGTGGTTTATATTTTTATCTTGTGCTGTTCGAAAGACGCTTTGATGGAATTTAAAAATACCAAAAGTATATTCCGGTACCGGGAATCGAACCCGAGCCTCCTGGGTGAGAGCCAGGTATCCTAGCCACTAGACCATACTGGAGTCGACAAATATCGGTGAAACCCGAAAGCGCAAATCAACCTTTTTTTTCGATGGCTCAAAAGCGCAAAATGAATTTGCGCTTTTGTACCTTGGCAGTGGGATAAAAGCGCAAAAGAAAATTGAATTGTTTGATACAATATTTTACTGACCTAAAGCGTGATGCTCTACGCTTTCCATGTATAGGTACGCCTGTACGCGGCCCACGACAGATTGCAGCAACGCATCGCGACGGTTATTGCATTTGTCTGTATCTTATCGTTTATCCCTTTGTTTTTAACATTTTTCTGAATTTTTTTTAAATGATTAGAAAAATATTCCGTCAATATTTGTATTTAAAAATTATATTTCATCTGTTTCAACAGGATTTACTGGTTTTTTGATTTTTTTGAACTAATTAATATCACTGTTAAAGTGTTAAAGTGTTAATGTTTAATTTAATATTAATAATAACTAAACTTTTAATTAAATACCCTTTTTTTTTTATAAATTTGATTTGCGCTTATGGGTTATTAAAAAGGTAATTTTTTTTGCGCTTTTGGGTTATTTGTTTTTGCGCTTTTGGGTTGCGTTTGGGTCATATTTTGCGCTTATGGGCTACAGCCACAAATATTAATAGTAAACTTTAAAAATATTCATTATTCATCGTTATATGTTGTGAAAAATGTTTCCTATCTAATTCAATGTATATAAATATATATTGTTATAGTGCAGGTCGATTTTTATTGTAAGACACTCATAATTATTATTTCCAGACTTTTGGAAAATATTTTGAAGATATTACGTTATGTCATACGTCCTACATGTTTAGAAAGCTTCTGCGAGCAGCACTTCCCGGTTTCCTAACGTATTAGAAATTAGGTATAATGCAATAAACTATAATTTCAAATTTAATGTAAATATAATTTGGTAACCTTAGTAGTATATTATGGATAATATAAATCTATATTAAAGAGGTACCTGCTGGTTACCTACTGGGTACTTATACAATAAGTACCATCTTAACCATCTTAATATTATCAATAATCGTATAATAAAACATCTTACAAACAGTTGTAATTAGGTATATAGCCATATAGGTAATAGCCAATAGGTATGCACAATAAGTACAGCAACCATGAGACATACGCAATAAATAAATCTAATAAATAAATAATCTTTAATATCAATAATCGAAATTATGTTCCTACCTATTGGTAACTAATTGATGGACGGACAAACTCAATGGGGATAAAAATATTATACCTAAGATGTTCTAAACTTATGTTGAGAAATCTAAGACTTAAGTCTTAAGGAGTATCGACGTATCGTACAATTACAAAAAATGATCCACTCCTCCTGTGTTATCAGGTCCGGAGACCGGAGTTACGTTATGTTCGTATATTTGAGTTGTTCTTTAAAAATTCAGTTGCAAAGTCTCACTAAAAGGGTTATTTGCTATTCCAAGACTAATGTCTTTTACTTCTACACGATTTAATACTCGTCCGATTCGAGAGGTATATTAGGCATATCGTATATATTAATCCTAGATATGATTTTCAAGGAAATACCCACGAAAAAACGTCATTTTATATAATCCGGATAGAGTCCGATCCCATAAAGTCCGGATCAAAGGAACTCTTTTCTGTATATGCATGGTCATAAGCATAACTCATAAGTACTGACTTTTGAGGATACCTATTTGCGCCAATGTGTTTCCAATGGGCAATGTTTATTTACTCCTGAATCCTGATCAATAAAAACATTAATAACAATAATAATATTTGATATAAATATGAGCACAGCTCGGTCATTCGTACGAATAAGAATGTGTTGCGTTTTTAATTCGTACAATATAATATTATCTTATAATATGACATAATAACACATATTGTGCAAAATATCTACTGGTTTTATCGTGTGTTTGTTCGATTATATCTATTGCAGTTCTAAGTTTAATAAACTTTAATTAGGTACATGTGTGCCTCGAGTAACACACTATTCGGTAATATTATTTATCTACGTCTACTAAACATACATAAACATATGTAAACGTGCTGTTTTTCTTCAAAATATTCAATAAAACTTTTAAAGATGCCCCTTAAAACCAAAACTGGTACCCTCCGTTGGAAATAAGCCAACTTCATCTTCATCTACTACAAAAGGTTAGGTTAAAAAATGAGTTTACTTTACCCGACACAATGAGTAAATTTAAGGCAATATAGTCATCCCATGATGCCAAGTTTATATCTATTAATGATAAACTTTTGAAGTATGAAACAACATTTTCTACTTTAAATAAAAAAACTTAGTAAAAAACCTGTGACCCGAAGAGACTATCTTATAGGAGCACAACCATAGAATTCTAAAAAGTAGAAATGATATTATTTTGAATATAGTTGAATTGCCTAATGAAGTAGATAACGATGAATTGGTAATCTCAAATGAGCTGTTACCTGACTTAAATTTAAGCATTAACATCATTCATGCGAAACGTATTTTGGAGCTACTAGTACAGCTACACAACCATCACTACTATAATTCGAAAATGAAACAAATGTATTAGATATACAAAAATTTAAATCTAAATTGTATTCCCTTGATAAGTGGAAAAATGTTTTGACAAATCTCCTGATCTTACAAAAATGCAACAAAATAATATGAAATCACTCCTAGAGGAAGTGCGCCAAAAACATCTGGCTGGGAACTCTAATCTAATCATCAAATATTTCAATGGGGTACCTAAAATAAGTTCGAAAAACTAATACAATAAGTGTACATTTTATTTAAATAAATAAATTTGTACGATATGCAGGCTGCGTGCCATGCAAAATTATTACGATTTTTACATAGTAATTGGTACATGATTCCAGACATTGCACGATTTGCACGTTTATTTTAATAATCTATACATTATAACATACAATATTATATTATGATGGCATGCAGATTATTGACATTTGAACAACAGTCTATACACTCAAATACAATTTAAATGTACATCTCCACTACGACTCGCATAAGAGTCGGCCTCCTCGCGAATGGTGGTGTATTTAGGTGATAAATTCTGAAATGCCAAACTGTTGTGATTTTTTGTGTCAATATCATACCATTCAAAGATACGAAAGCGGTGAAAGAATAACATAATTCTGTGGTGTCGCCTTATCTTGTCTACATCGCCGTCAGCACTCTGAACATTACTTTTTACCACGGACTAAGATATACTTATATTATACTTATATCTTAGTTCGTGCTTTTTACTATACTAGGAGCCTAGGGCCCTGGTCCAGAGTTACCAAGCTTACTCGTTTATTTAAGCTGCCCCTAAAACTAAGTAAGTCTTAATAATAATTGTTTTGTAGTACGAAACCGAAAGATGGATTATTAAAAATTAAAATTCAATCCGCCTTGACATACTATTATACTCATATGACTATACCAATTAGTATTATACATTTATTATTTTCTAATATTGTACATGGATAAATATCATAAATAGATATTTCATTTTAGTCCATTTAAACATGGAATAATGAAACAATAAAATATTGAAATTAATAATATAATAGATTTTAAAATATTCCAGATAATATATTGTAAAACAAAAGTCTTCGTTCAAAATTTTGATTTTTTCATTCTGATTTATAAAACATGTAGTAATGTTAACATACCCAAATGGCTATTATTATATATTTATATTCTATATCCGTGGTAAATACTAAAATGATACTATAATTAGTATCGTCCGATTCGGTCTATTTATACAGTGTTACATCCCTGGTTATATGTTAATAATAACAATATTATCCGTTATGTAATCACGACTGATCTAATCTTAGATCGTATATTATAAATCAAGATCCAAGGGTCCAATAAACTAGTGTTTATAAGACGTGGGTACACGAATTAAATATTTAATTTCAGCTAGAATAGTAAGAATAGTACAATAATATTACAATATTAAATATTCCCTTGAAAGGGGAAAGTGGAAACCAATCGTTATGACGTCTTGTTCAACACTTTGTCGAACAGACACACCTGATTAACCGTGTGGTGACTGGTGAGAGCATGCGACTGTTCCTCCGTCTTGATATCATTGTAATGTAATGTTTTACTAATACTCTAAAGTACTCTTTGTGTTTGTGTATTTGTGTGTTTCATATTTGCCCAGTCGTGAAGACTGAAGACAGCGAAGACGCGTCAGACGTCAGTTGTCATTATTCGATTGTTCACGAGTTCATCCGACACCTGCGGGCACGTGCTTAGTTCGTTTGGATGTTATTACAGCTTTCATTTTCTCAATGAATTAGTTGTTGGGAAGCTTTGTCATTTGCGGTGTTGATTAGCGTCCAAGTTCTTCCAATCCATCGACATGGAAACCGTTTATCCCAATAACGATGAAATACAATTCCGCCAACAACATTTTGGAGGTAAATCGTAAATGCAACATTGTCTAAAAGAATATTATAATAATACTATGTTAATGTTATAACTTTAGCCTTAAAGGTACTTACAGCGGGCTACCTATAGGAAATAATTAATATTTTTATAGTTTTTTAATAGACAGTGGTATATTAAAATAATGTACATAATATATTATGTACCTATATTGTTTTAAATGAATACATTTTTAAAATTTTTTTATAAGTAATAAACAATCTGTATCAAATTATAATATTTTAATATAAAAAGTCTGTGGCAATATAATATAGTACCTATCCATTCGCATTTTAATAGTAAGGCTTGGTTATAGTAGTCGTTCATTTTTATAAATAAATTAAAATCTTAATTATATTTACAATTTGAATATTAAAATAATAACTTAAAGTCTTGCTAATAAATAATGTGTTGCATAATATTATTTATTGGAAAACTGAACAAGCCCAGTACAAATGATGGATAATAATCTTACCACTAATTTACATATCGGTTTAATCTTAAAAACAGTAACATGTAACAAAGATAACGTTGCAGTAAACAAAATCCCATAATAAATAATTGATGGATTCTCGTTTGCTATTCTGTAAACTTTACAATATTACCTATCCATGTCAATTATTTGAATTATATTGTTGTTACCTATAGGTATTTTAAATATATTAAATTTATGTTAAGAAAAATTCTGAAAAAGAATCAGCTTGAGAATCAGCAAGATGGGGATGTTTTTAGTATCAACCTTTGATATAAATATTCCATTGGTTAAAGAAAACATAATTATATACCACCATATACTTACTGATTTAACTTAACAATTAGTTATTTTTTATTTATGAATCATTACTTTTTACTACAGTTTATTTTATTTTATTAGTTGTTGAAGACATTTTGAACAGTAAAGTTGAATGTGCAATTTGTAACCATGATCTCTTAAATTATATTATTTTGAAAAAAATAATAATGGTTCATCAAAGTTATCTATTCCTGTGTTGCCATGTAAGTTTTATTTTTAAAAAAATGGTACAGTAGAACGCCAATCATCTAAATTTAAAAATCAACCAGACATCCAATTATCTGGATGAGTAAAATAAAAAGTAAGGCAAGGAATCAAATACTATTCAGTTTGTTGCAGTTAAAGTGACATGTTGCATGAACAATTACTATACTTTTAACTAATCAATTAATGGTGTGCTAATAGTTCCTTAAACCCACGATTGGTTCATTAAATTGTATTGAACATTGAATACATTTTTCATGTCACCTGGCATAAGTGAGTTGTACATAGTTGGTACTTTAAGGAATCAAAAAGAAAAATTACACAAAACCAATTTGGGCAAAATCAACTTAATGTTTTTGGACTAACTCAAAAACTAACTTAAAATGTTCACCAAATATTTATATAACCATTTTCTTAAATGATATGTTGACTTTTTTTAACCCGTCATTGCTCGCGTGTTTAATTTGGACACTGTTACTCGATTCGCTCACCTAGTATATTTTACCATAAATGTAATATTTTATGAACAAATGATCGATAAATCATAAAATAAACCAATTTTGAATATTCTTTATTAATATATTGAAAAAAAAATGAAAATAATTATACTGACTTTTGTGCTATGAAATGTGAACCGTATGAACCATATGAACGCAAAATTCAAACGCTGTTACTCGCGCGTAGAGGGATTCGCTCACAAAACGCGACTAGTTCAATTCGGATTTCAATAGGTGTCGCTATCGGAACGCAATTGTGCCAGTCAACTGATAAATCTATTTTTAAATAGTTAAAGGTACTATGAATTTGGGAAAAATACAACAACACACAAGCCAGTGGTTAAAAACCTAAAAACTATGTGAGGGAAATTCTCACGTGTGAGCAATGACGGGTTAAATTAATTAAATTTAGCCGTGACATTCGTCAAAACTGCAAAAATTTAAAAATCATTTTTCAGTTTGAAATTTAATTTTGCTTTTCACTGCTAATTTTTGAAAATGTAATAGTTAATCCTCTTAGTTTTTCAACGATAAACATAAGACATTTCCTGGAAAGTAACATAAAAAAGGCACAATTTTAATTATTTTTTTGTAATTTAAAAAAAATTATTTGCGTGTTCTTGTAACTTTAAAAGTTTAATATTATGTTTCATACACTGTGACATTATCAAATGCAGTTTTTTCAGAAAAAAAAATTAATTCAACCTACCTGATTACTAATGTCTAATAGTAAATAAAAATTACTTTAATAGCAATAGTATCATTAAATATACTTGGTAGTTAGTAATACCTATAGGCTGACCGTTTTTCCGTGTACCATAATTTTATGTTATTGATTCAAATTTAATATATTTACTCATTCATCACAGTGACTCACCCAACACCTAATGTACAGCTGCAGAATAGTGTACCCACTTGCCCACCTTTTTCTTTTAATGTGTTATTTTAACTATCCAAATTTTTGTGTATTTGGACTATCCCTGACAAAAATTACGTAGTCAGGATAATCGGCATTCTACTGTATCTACTAACTGTATGTATTAAAATAATTATTGTTTAGTACATAATACTTATATCTAGTAGCTTTTAGGTATTTCAGATTATTATATAATTGCATAATTATTAAAATTGTTTTTCCTGATAGGTAATTCAAAAACTGTCAAATTATTTGTCAATCCTTGTTTCGTTTTATTTTACTTTCTATATAGCTCATTTCACAGAGTTATTAATTATTTAAATAGTTATTAAATGTTTTTTATGCAATTTTTATTTTTTAGTTTTTATGCTTTAGAATAATAATGAACATGTAATTTTTGCAACAATAAATAATTATTTCTTACCGATTATGTAAATAATCAATGCTTGTGTTTATATTTTCTTTTTACAGAACTGTTTCTACAAGTTGTGTGAAGTCAATAACTATAGTTGTATCTTGTGTGCATCAAACATAGATCAATCTGTTTGTGTAAAATGCAATCTTAATATTTGTAAAGTAATTAAAACTGTATTGTTATATTTAATTCAATTTTATTTTAATTGATGTAGAAAAAATATTTGTGTACAGTCGAGTTTCATTAACTTGAATTTCAAGGGGAATAAAAATAAATTTAACTTAAGCTGGGGTCTCAGAATGGTAGTATTACATAGTGATTTTTCGCAACACCTTACTGTCACCGTACAAATTCCACGATATTTGCTTTCACACTATATTCTACTTATTCACTCTAACACCATCATCATTATCATGCACGCATGATTGTTCATTCACTTCAGCAACTATTTTGTTTTTCTATCATCGTGTGACCGTGGCTTTATGTATTTTCAGAGGTATGTACCTCAAGTGCAACTTAAACACATTTCAAAGGGCAAGAAAAAACATTATCTATTAAGGTTTCAACTATTGTAACTCGACTGATTTTCCAAAGTTAATTTAGTTAAAAATAATCTTATTAAATTTTACTTTACTAGCGGTGTATTGAAAACTACAAAATAGAAACACTGTGTGATGGTACTTTATATAACTGCTTTGCTTGTGTACCACAAATGTTATGGAAACAAAGAGCTCAAGCTGCTAATGTATTAAAAGTTTTTTGTTCTCAGTTGTAAGTTAATCTTTTAGTGTAAATATTCTAATTAATTATTTGTAAAAACATTTAATTTTAATTTTTTTAATAACTATAATATATCTGATACCAATTAGTTTTGATTTTTAAATTTGTATAAAGTATCCCATTTTTTAAATTTTTTATATAGTTTGTTATTTAAAAATGTGTTTTTTTTTTATTTTTCAGATGTATGCCAAGTGGCTTATTAGTAAATGAACCAGAACATGAACAAGCGGTTCGAAAATACTTAATAAAAGAAGCTAAAGTTGGGCAAAATTCCTTAATAGATAGTATTAGGAATAACTTGTGTGTTGATTTCGTTTTAAAATCATATAAGTCATTCATAATAAATGAATTATCAGAGTTTTCATTTGATAATGCTAGTCCTCTTGATGAAAATTTAAATGGATTTTCTAATATTTTTGAGAGTATTTTAGAGAAAACCTGTTCTACTTTAACCAATTTTAAGAGCATATTTAATATGAGCTCACATTTAAGTCGCAGTGTATCTGATATGATGAAATCCTTATGCATTGATAAAGATGAACATATTATGCCAATAAGTTATTCAAGAATAAATGAAAACTTAGATGAAGTAATGAAAAACAATTCGAGCAATCTATCATTAAATAAGTCAAACATATGTACTACAAGAATTTTAAGATCACAAAATAAATACAAAACAGATATTGAATTTTTAAACTCAAATGTTTCTTTTTCTTCAAGCTTGCCACCAAAGCCCAAAGTCATAGATAAGAAATTAATCGTTACAAAAAAACAGTTAAACAAATCAAATACATCAAGTGTGAATAATGACAAGTCCTCTAATGAAGTTAATATTGATTTAGTAAAAGATAAACTAGTTGATCCTGAACATTTATTTAAAGATAATGATAGTAATGATCGAATAGAGAATACAAAAAAATTGAGCATTCAAAATGTATTAAAGATAAATAAGGTAAAATATCCATCTAACCTTTTAAATAGTTATATTTTAGAGATTTTAAAGTGTATTTGAATGATTTGACAGTGGCCATATTGATAAACAAAAAAGTTTTGTTTTAATACTATATACTATACAGAGTGTGTTCTAAAATATTCCAAGTATTAGTATTAATAAAAACTTAAAGACTAAACATTATTCTAAACATGTATAGTTTTCTTCAAAATGCTTGATGTTAAAAATAACCTTGATCCTTATCCTCATTTAAATAACTAAAAATGCTGTTTACAGGTTCAATAATTTTAAATAAAGCCTATTTTCTCCATTTGTTTTTAAATAACTAAACTTTGTTTTATTTTGCCCCCCCCACCCTTTCATATTATGCTTTTAAATTAAAAATTAAATATGTTGTAAGACAGTGTTTATTAATTATACATTTGTTATTAATATTATTTAGACAAAAAACCAAGCTAAAAACTCAATAAAAAATAAAAAAGTACCCAATGAAGGATCTGATGAAAAAGAAAACGATAGGTAAACATTTAGTCTAAAAAAATAGCATTAATTCGTAAAAGTTTGTTGAATAATGTAATGTTGATTGGTTTATTTTAGTCTGATGTATTTAAATGATGTTGAAAACTGTTCCAAAAAAAAAATCAGAGCTGATGAAGTTAATACTAATAATACTGATATCATCCAAACTAACAATACAAGTTTTAAAGTATCTCCAAAAAAGGAAGTTCATAAGTTGAAACAAATATGTCAAATTGTAAAAAAAAATAATGAACTGGACTGCGGTATTTATACATTTTATTTGTTTAAAAAAATACTGTCATATTCAAAATAAAATGAATAATACACAATGGTGTGGTGAAAAGGATTGTTCAGAAGTAATTGTCTTAAAAAATTGCTTTACCTTGTTTATCTTAGCAAAATCCAATCTAGTTAGTTGATGGAATAATAAAGTGACACTCCCAAGTCCCAAGCTCAGCCATGCACAGTAGCCCACTAACCCAGTACCTGAGGCTTCTTATTTGAGACAACTTTACTAGTATATAGATTCAAAATCTCTAAAATTCAAAACATTTTTTATTTAATAACCTAAGCCTTAAAAATGTAGTACAAAAGAATTCTAGAATTGTACCAATAATTTTGGTTCAGAAAAGTTTACAAATTGTCCCACTTACAAAATTAAAAAGATTTTTAAAAAAGTTCACCATGCTATTGAATATAGACACATTTTTTTGGTATTGAAATAACCTAACCTAATCTACAGCCAATTAACTATTAAGTATGCAGTGTTTGTTAAAGAATGTTTTTTTATGTAGATGATGTGAACAATTCACAAATAACTAATCCTATAAAGTGTGATATTGATAGTTATCGTGAAACTTGTGAAGAAACACAATCAGATTTAAATAATGTGGATACTATTCATGGGTTTGGTGAATTAGAAAATGAAGAAATTGTTGTAAGTTATAAGTTGTATTAATAATTATTATTGACATTATATTAAATAAGAAAAGACTTTAAAGGTGACTGAAATAATCCTCTAATGTTGAAGTATAATAAATGAGTAACCCATCGAATGTGTCATGATTTATGATCTTTTAATGATATAAAATACATAAATATTAAAATACTTAATTATAAACAGTGAAAAATAATTGTTCTTTAATTTCACCATAGTATTATTGTTCATTTGAATAGTAATTTAAATACATGAGTATTATCAATAAAAAAAGAAAGTTTTATTCCTATCCCAGGAAACTTCTTAAATTATATTTCAGTAATTAAAAAAAACCAAAATTCCTATTTGAGGTAAAAATATTGAAATGTGCATGCTTGGTGGTAAATCACTCTTTTTTGAGTACGTGAAATGTAATTAATTATAGTATCTTTAAGCTGATAGTAATTATTTGAATTTCATTGTATTTTTAGGAAATGTGCGTATCATCTGTTGAACATAATAATAAAAACCTTGTAACTTGTTCAAAACAATTATCTCCACTTACTATGCCATTAGTTATTAATGATGATAATGATTCTGATTTTGAAGTTTTTAAAAATAGAGGAACAAAAAGGTAATTTTTTATATTTATTTTGAAATAAACAATATTAGTACCTATGTTATTGATTAATAATTATACTTTTTTAAAACTAACCTCTACTTGTTTTAGAAAAAAAATTATATTAAGTACTACCTATATTATAATGTTTACCTTTTATGTATCATGTTTTTGTATTTTCTATGCTGAAGCATAATATTTTATTGAAAATGATATTAGTAAATAAATAAATAAATATTTATAGTAATGAACTGACTGACTCTAGTTGTTCTTAATTTTTAACACATACATTTCATACTATTTTAAATTATAAATAATATTAATTTTTTTAATACTATTAACTTCTTTTATTGATTAATTAGAGCTAATTATATGTATATAACTAGTGTTTTACTATTTTTGACTACTTCATACAATTCACTAATTAAAGATTTTTAAAATTTTTTTTGCATATAGAATGTTGATAATGTCTGACTCGCCTAATGATTCGGATTCATCAATCATAAAAACTAAAAACCCAAAAATCAAAAACCAAATGATTAAACAAAGCATATTTGATTTATCGACAAGCAGCAGCAGTTCTGATGAAAGTTCAACTTCTAAAATAGTTAATAAACGTAGAAGAATGTATGTTTTCATATAATTCAAATTATTTTAATTTAATATTTAACATTGTCATGTATTATAGTAGGCGACTGTCTAATGAGAGATCTGATGAAAATTCTGATAATAATAAAACATCCCATGATCATGTTGTAAGTATACCAACAAATAAATTAAGTAACTTGTATCATTTATTAACTTACATTGCTCACTCCTTTTCTACTGCTCTTTATTTTTAAATTTCGAAATAAAATGAATATTTAAAATAAATATGAAAAAAATTAATTTCATGTACCGTGATTAGTTTCTACTAAACTGTTTGAAAAAAAAATTAAAATCTTACTCTTAAACTTTATATAAATAAGAACCTTGGAACAAACAAAATTTGTAGTTTAGAAGGGACTGACTTTCAATGCATTAATATATCCCAAAAAAACTTGAGTTACACTGCTTTTCAATCTAATTTTTATTTTTTATTTTTTTTCTATAAGCCATTATATATATATATATATTTTTTTTTTAAAAACCATTAAAAATTACATAGGATACAAAAAAACATTGAGTTAGATTTCATGATTAACTATCTCTTTTAAGCTTTCAGCTTGTGTTAGAGATAGAGAGTAATAATTATTGTAATAAACATTTACTATTAAGTGAGTAGGACAATAATTGAAACATGAACAAAACAACTTAGGAGAAAAAAAAATAATAATACTTTTTGATATTGATTTATATGTATTATTTTTAATGTATTGAAATGGGTATGATCCTTAAGTTTTCTAATTTGTATATTTAGACACCAATAAAAGGACGAAAAAATATTCGTAGATTGTTAACACAAAAAGAACTCAGTGAATCAACCCAAAATGCCATAAAAGAAGAAGAATTAAGGAAGAAACGCATTCAAGAACGTCAACAACTAGTATGTATATTTATATACTTAATGTTTTATTTTGAATTTGGTGTATTTATTCACTTTAAAATTTTAGTATAATAACATTTATGACGTACCAACATCCTTGGAAACAGAAACATGTAAAAAGTTAGTACTAGATTTTGATGTTAAAACAAATGAGGAACTTGTTGCAGTTCATCCAGATCTTGTGAAGTTTCTCAAACCACATCAGGTTAGAGTAACATATTCTAAGAAACATGTATTGGTTTAACTTGACAATTTTTTTTTTTTTTAAATAGGTGAAAGGAATTACATTTTTGTGGAATTCTGTATTTGAATCATTATCAAGAATAAAAGAACATAAAGGAAATGGATCAATCTTAGCCCATTGTATGGGTTTAGGTAAAACGTTACAAGTATGTAGGGCTATATATTTTATTTTTATCTTGTTCAATATACATAATCTCAGAAATCATAAGTCATTGATTCCCAATATAAATTATTTCTAATACCTAAGTAAATCCGTAACACTGTTGTCTTTTAAGAAAAATTAATTTTGGATACCATTTATTTATTTAATTCATGCAGACTTATCATCAGACAATATCATTTAATGACTAAATTAGCATTTCTATAAATTTCTTTTAAATATTTTCAAATTAATCAATTAGAGTTAAAAAGAAGTATAAATATGACTATGATTTAGATTTGTTAGTATGTTTACAGAAATTTGTTCCTTATAAATTGGTAATGGTATTTTTTTTCTATACCTACATACAATATCAGCTAGTTCAATAAATGATTTATACTGATTTCACGTATTTTATAAAACTAAATAAAACTATTGATGAATAAATTTTCTATGTTCTAATGCAGTGGTGGCCAAACTTTTTTTAACTCGGGCCATAAAAAAAAAAATTTTTTGACCGCGGGCCATAAAATTTTTTTTTACTTTAAAGTCATCAGAATTTTAGGTATAGGTATATAATTTTATAATTAACGACATTTTTATTGTACTTAATAATTTTAATGACTTTATTTAATACTTAACTTAATAATTACTACAAATAAAAGAAAATTAAATTATGAGCACAGTAATATTACTATATGTTGTATTACTATATATTGCTATACTACTAATATAATATTGTAGTATTGTAGTTTCTACAGCCATGGTGATCGTATGAAAATAAGATAAGATACGGTAATGCTATTTATATTATTAAATTACATAGTAACAACAAAAACGCTACGATATGGCGATACGGGATTAAATATGAAGAATGTATACTGTATATTTTTAATTTTTTTTTTTACGTAAATGTAAAATATTCTACTTCTTTCGCGGGCCAGATATTAAATGATGGCGGGCCGGAGTTGGCCCGCGGGCCGTAGTTTGGCCACCACTGTTCTAATGTATTCTATATGTTAAAGAAAATACTTTTTATAATATCTAACTCAAAATATTCAATTTTTTTTTCAGATAATAGCTTTGGTTCATACATTATTTAGGTATCCAGAAACTGGTATTAAAACTGTATTAATTATTACTCCTAACGCAACGATTGAAAATTGGTGTAAGGAATTTCATAAATGGTTGCATGGTATTGATGAAAAAAAAAATTTTTTTGTACTTAACTTAGCCGAGTGAGAATATTTTTAATATTATGACATAACTTTTAAATTTTTAGTTATCTTAACAATTTTAATTTTAGATCAAAAACATATGAAAGTCGAAAAAATATTATAGTTGAATGGCGTAGAGAACATGGCGTTTTAATTACAAGCTATGAGTTGTATAGATCCGTTGTTAATTACAAGTACATTGACAAGTTTCCTTCAATCTTAGAAGGACTTGTTGATCCAGGACCAGATTTGATCATATGTGATGAAGGGCATGTATTAAAAAATCATCTTACAACAGTATCAAAATCAGTTAATCGTATTAAAACACTTCGAAGAATTGTGTTGACTGGAACACCATTGCAAAATAATTTGAAAGAATGTATGTATACACTCCAACTTTGCTTTTTAGCTCTTATAAACTTCATAAAATGATTATTTCAAAAGTGATTTAAAAATTGAAAATAAAGCTGTAATGATACAATATTTATAATAATTGTTAGTCAATTAAAACATTTTTTATTTTATAAGCATTGGCTAATAATTGAGACAACCATCATTATTATAAAAAGTCTTTTGAAGGATTCTAGCTTCACCCTTACAAATTTTCAAAACAACAAAAAAAATATAATTTGTTTGTCTAATTTCTTTATTTATCTTGAGTTCACTAGAGTGTGTGTTCATGGTGAATGACCGTATTGTGTGTATTTATCATTCTTAAGTTAATTTATTTCCCCCATTTTTATATAGATCATTGTATGGTTGATTTTATACGACCAAATTTATTAGGATCAATAAAAGATTTTACTAACCGTTTTATAAATCCAATTACTAATGGGCAATACTCTGATTCAACTCCACTAGATGTAGAACTGATGAAGGGAAGATCACATGTATTGCATAAAATGCTTGAAGGATTTGTACAGGTAATCTTAATTTATTTAATTAATATTAATTTATTTTAAATATAAACGGACTTAAGTCCTCAACAATATTTTGAGCGTGTACGTGGTAATAATAATACAATTATATATGCTACTCTTTACCATAAGAAATTTAAAAAATCTACTCTTTCAATGTGGACAATTGTCATATATTACAAAAATTAGTAAGTTACTAGTTGACAATTTCGTTTGAAATAATATAAATTTAAATTCATTACGCTATTATTATTAATATTTATATATATATTTTTTTTTAGAGATTTGATTATAGTGTTCTTACACCATATTTACCCCCTAAACACGAATATGTAATTTATTTGAAGTTATCTCCTAAACAAATAGAATTATATCAGACATATTTAGATTCTTACAGACAACCAGATTTATTTACTAATTACAACATGCTACAAATAGTTTGGACCCATCCTAAACTTTTAGCTATATATGCTGACCGGACAGAATCAAAGAGAGAAGTATAATATAAAAAAATGTTTTATTATTTATAAACTAATTAAATATATTTTGTTTTTAGAAACAAAAACTTAAAGACATTAGTTATATTGATTCTTTTTCAAATTCTGTTGAGGGAGTTGAAAGTAAGCTATATTATATTATTATAATTGTGAAATAGCATATTCTTAAAAACTGCTATTTCGTACTATTCTTTATTAATAATATCTTAATTAAATGCTTGTAAGTATTTGTTGTATGACATATGCATAAAGCAATATTGCAAGACAATAAGTAAATATGGAAACATCAATTGATGCTGGATTGATGAAAAATATTTATTTTAATTACTTTAATATATAATATTTAAGTAGTGGTATTTTTAATTATGTAGATAGGCACATACCAGTCTCAATTCTTAACTCATCAATCACCAAGAAACCAAATACATATCTTAAGTGGTGGAAACCATATGTATCAAAATCTGATTTGGAATCGGTGTACCCGTATTCAAAGTTTATAATGATGTTTTCAATACTTCTGGAATGTGAAAAAATTGGTGATAAAGTGTATGTATAATCTTTATATTTAGCTTTCAATTTGAATTATTCTATTAAATCAATTTCAGGTAAATACTGGAATTTGGTTTGGTGATCTCTTTATTTTCTTAGGATACTACACAGACATTTGTTATCTCCATTTGACAAGTGTGTAACAGCGAGTTATGAGTATTTTAAAATTGTAAATTGTTTGTATATCTTAAAATATTCATAACTCACTTTAAAATAAAAATATTAACTAACAAATCAAAATTTGGAATGTTGTGCACTTGTAAGACAACAAATGTCTGTGTAGCGTCTTTAGTAAAAAAAAATATGATTGTTCATAATAAGATTCAATGAGTTAAACTCAATTAAAGAAAACTGGTTATTTTTTTGCTTAGGAACTTAAAATAACTTTTACTTTGGTATAGGCTATTATTCAGTCAGTCATTATTTACTCTTGATCTCATCCAAGATTTTTTGGAAAATGCTGAAGATAAGGCTAACGATAAAGGGGGTCCTTATGGTAAATCTTGGGATCACGGTGCAGATTTTTATAGAATTGATGGTTCAGTAAATTTGAAAGAGAGAGAAGATTATTGTGAACAATTTAATGATGTCAATAATCCTAGGTATTTATTTTTCAATTTATTTTTTTTTATTATAAATTTTACTATGAAATAATTTATTTTCAGAATGCGTCTTTTATTGTTATCGACAAAAGCTTTTAATTTAGGTATTAATCTAGTTGGTGCTAATCGAGTTATTATTTTTGACATGACATGGAATCCATCTTTAAATGTTCAAAGTATATTCCGTGTGTTTAGATTTGGACAGACTAAACCATGTTATATTTATAGATTCATTTCTGAGGTAAGTAAAACAAAAAATGCAATAAGACCTATTTACAATAGGTTTATTTTTAATTGTTTTTGAGTTGGATAGTTTTATATAGTAATAATATTTTTATTATTATGAATCTTAGTTTAATTATTTCAGTATTTATTTCTATCTGTTGCAGTAATAATTAAATATTTTAATACCTGAAATTGTTACATCCTCTCTCCACTAAGTTTTAAAATTCAAATTATGTTTAATTCATTTAGATTTTTTTTCTTTAATTAACTTTCAATGAATAATTTTTGTTAAGACTTGATAATTATGTACAAAAGATTTTTTTTTATTCTAAATTTTGTATTATAAGGGTACAATGGAGCAAAAAATATATGAACGTCAAATATCTAAGTTATCGATGGCTTTTCGTGTAGTCGATGAACATCAAATTGATCGTCATTTTAATGCAAAATGTCAGGAAGAACTTTATGAATTTGAACCAAATATTACCAAACCAAAATCAACATTAAATTTACCCAAGGTAGCATAACTATATTAAATTCATTTTTTGTAATAGTTACTCTTATTTTATTTTTCTATTTTTAATGTAAATTCTGAAAGGATCGTTTGATGGCTGAATTGATATTGAGGCATGAAGACCTTGTAATGAATATACTAGAACATGACTCATTACTACAAAATAATGAGGCAGAAGAATTAGATGAGAATGGCCGAAATGCTGCATGGGAAAATTATAAAAAAGAAAATGATTCCGCTAATGTTTCGATTAAACAATCAATATTACCAATATTACCAATATTTTGTGAATCTGAAAGTGACTAGGAAATAAGGTATATATGTCAACATTCAAAATTTAAATTTAATCTAGTCCTAATAATAAATATTAAATTAATAGTTTTTAAATATATTTTATAATTCTATTATAGGTAATCACTACTCAGTCACCTAATATGTATATAATAATAATGTTAAAGGAGCACAAAACAAATAATATTTATTTTAAAAGAATGTTTAATTCTAAGAAAAATGGTATTGATTTAACATTGTTACTCTCATCATTCTATAAATTGTGAGAAATTTATTATGAATAAGTGATGTCATTGAGTCGGTCACGCTGTAATTGTCCATTTTTATTCCCATTCAGACCAAGTTGCTTGCTTCACACAATTATTTACTCAATTTTGAAGGATATTTTTGCAAATGTATGCATGTGATGTGTTTTTATTAGCTGAAGATGTTAGTAGAACCAGAATTGGTTCCGAAGGAATAAATTTTTTTGTAATATTTAAAATGTTGTTAAAGAATTTTTTGCTACATGCGCCTATAACTTCAGCAGTCACTTATTATTACACAACATGTGTTTCATATAAAAAAACAACTAAATGTTAAATTACAATAATTCTGATCTTCTATTATCTTAATAGCCCAAAAAATCACATATTTATACTCAAATCATCATTGTGTAAATTGAGCAACTTTAATACATGGAATTATATCTAGCTCCGCTCAATGACATCACTAGGCTATTTTGTACACCCTAATATCTCCTTAAATATTTATTTTTTACATTGAATGTTCAACAAATTGCTTTTAATTGTTTGATTACAATAATTATTTTTTTTTAAACATTTTTTTGTGTTGGGCGCTTTTACACTATGTTTTTTTTTTTACCAGATTTTCTCAAACCTTTATACGCCAAAACTTGCTGATAAATTTACTAAGGTGAAGATTGCACACAATTTTGAACAATTAAGTATGGTATAAATATATATTATAGTATATTTATTTTTTTATACCATTAAATTAACTCATTATACATATTAATACAACAATATTAGAATATACATATTATTTGTGATTTTTATTATAGATATGTATATTTAACTATTTTCTTTACAAATCAGACTGTTATTGTAAGTACCAATATTTAATCTTTAATTCTTAAAAAAATAAAGCTAACATAAGATTTTGTATGTATAAGATCATTCCTTTTACTAATTATTTTTTAATTAGAAATATTTGTTTTTATATTGTGTTTTTAATGATTTATGGATCTACAGTAATTTTTATAAGGAAAGTACCTTGAAATAAAGTAAACTATTTATACCTATAAATAATGTTTAATGATTTTTTTTTTTAACAAAAGATCTTCAGAATATTATTAAGCATCAAGTTTTTTAAATTGTATGTGTTTTATTGAATTATTAAAAATATAAAATAAATTGTCTTTTAAGGGTACATTATACATGCAGTATTGTATCCATTTTACAAACTTACCACAAATCAAGTTTGCATTCAGTAATATCAATTTTGTATTGTTAGGTTTAATTATAATGTCAATGGAGTTAGTATAAAACTTGAAGGTTTGAATGTTGGTTTTACTTTTTTTTTTTTTTAAACCATAATTATTAGGTAAAATATGAAAATATTGCTATTTAAATTTGTTTGGAATACAATTAAAACAGCACAAAAAACAAACACACTAACACAGTAATATTCTTGTCTAAGTGTGATAAAAGGTGTCAATTGACACCTTGGAAAACTTATATTAGGTTCTATTTTATTTTTATATAATTAATTAACAGCGATTGACTTATTTTAGAATAACTCAAATTTGTCAAGGTTACTTAAATCCCTACTTAAAATATAAACTTAAAAATATTTTATAATGGTATAGTAGTTATAAAAATGATAAGTCTACTGATAGTTTGATAGTTATCATGGTTCATGCTTAAAAAATAGTTTGCATTAGAAAAAAAACCTTAATAATCCATACCTGATTGCAAAATTAGGAACAAACTATAAGGGTCCAAATAGTTGACCGAATTTTGTCGGCCTGCAAAATCCATTTTGTTTCCCTTAAACACTTGCTCCAAAGATATTTTGTTCCATAACAAATTGTAAACATTGGAAATTACCATGTTTATGATCATTATTAGGGAATAAAGATTAAAATACTAGAGCAAGCTATTGTTTTTTGTAACAAATAATTGTCAAATGAATATGATATTTCAGTTTCTTTTTTGAATAATTATGAGGGAATTTCTAATAGCAAAACTAAGAGACAAATCAAATTTAAAACGATGTTTTATTGTGTTTAAATTAAATTTTATATTGAAGAATTTTTATATAACAACAGGTAATAATAAATAAACACCAAAATTATTATACATATGAATATATATGCATTAAATAAACTAAATCTACACATAGTATGCACAGTATAAAAGAAGATTTGCTGTTTTATTAGTTTGCCACATGACGTTTTTATGATTTAAATGTACAATTGAAACTTATCTGAGCCATAATTTTAAACGTAAGGCATCCACACCGTTCAAATAGTAGCAAAATAGGCGTTTATCTCGTACAAAGCCTAAGTTTTCATATAATTTTAATGCCGGTTTATTGGTGATTTCTGTTTCAAGCACAACCTGTAATTAATACAATAATATAACTCATTATTTAATACTTTTATTTTATTACTATATTTTAAAATTAAATCAAATATTCAATAATATAATCAATATTATCTGTCTAATATACTCTTAAAATATAATAAATACTTGACTATATCAATGTTGAATAAAATGCATTAAGTAAATATATATAGGCACCACAGTTTCAGAGAAACCCATAGTTTTGGGTTCTAATCCGTTAGATTAGAAAATGAGAAATACTTAAATTATTTATCAGTACTCAATTTTAATTACTTAAGAATTAAACTACTTAGCTTAATCAAATTGACATTGATTTTATTATATTTTAAGAGGACTTTGTATCCTCGTGTGTTGTCTCTGTTTTAACACATCACAATAGCAAATTTAACATTCATAAAAATCTGATTTACTTTTATTTTAAATTTTAAAGTAATTTGACCTATTATAAATTGTAAAAGTAAGAATGCAGCATAATGTTTTTACCTTTTAGTGTTAACTTAATAGGTAAATTCACTTTAACTTCTAATATTAAGAAATATAACAGTTATAAAATGGATTCTTCCAAACATAAAATTTGTGTCAGTAAGACAGAGATAGTATTATTAAAACTCAATAAATATACTTATTTCTAATCAATGGTTATGGTATTATGTCAAAAATACTGAAATAATGATTATGTACAGGCAGGACACTTGTAATTGTATGAAATAACTACTATATAATATTATATATTCATTAGTGTATATAAACTTCAAGTGTTACAAAATTGCACAGTTAAAATATATTATAGCAATAATAATAACAATATATTAAACATACAAGACTAACACAATACACATATTTATAACATGTACAAAATAATAAATTATCATGTGAAAAATAAATATAATGCAAAATTGGATTTCAGATTTTATAAATATACTGGAATACTTATTATACAAACAAGTAAATCAACAAGTATTTGAGAGTATGTGAATAAGATAAATCCCATATACAAACAGCAGAAATTAAAAATTGAACTACTAGGAAAATGTAGGTATTTATAACTAATTAATTTACAAACTAAGGTAAGGGTAAAATAATAGGTAAATTGTTCCACAATTGTGAACAATTGAAAGCACTTTGATGTAAAATAGGGGATATCAAAATAAAAGACTGGAGTACGTGTTGTTACACCATGATAAAAATAACTAAGCCTTTAATTTAAAATACATAAGACATTAATATTTTCATCTTATAGTCACAGATTAAAATTTGTTTTTATTTTAATGTTGAATATTGTATAGAGCAATACTTATTTATTGAATCTAACTCGTAAATTTAAATTATCAATTAATTAATTCGATATAAATAAGGTAATTTTAAATTTATTATACCTGACTGGCCATAATTACGTTTAACAAATTACATTGTATTTTATGAACAATTTTTATAGTTACATTAAATGGATTAGAAATGGTGACTTTTTTCATTATTTACTAAATAAGTGTTTGAAAAATAAATTTAGATGTTTTTTTATTACAAAAAACCGATAAAAAAATCAAAAAAAATTGTAAGAACAGATTAAAATTTACTTGAGATTGACTACCTACCATTTTTTTTTATTTAAACCTAAATCCTGAAAAAATATATGAAAATCAAAAATTAAGAAAAGTTAATCTCAAGTAAACTTAAGAGGAGGTCAGTACTTTTTTTTTCACCCTCTGACACACAGCCAGCATAACAAATTTTACGTTTACAATAGTGGTTATTATCATAATAATTTCTAAAATTAGATTGAAATGACCATTTATAACATTTAAAGGTAAGCTTATTATCTATGATATCTCATAGGCTTTCTATTATAATTAAATTTTTAAGTGAAGTGTGAGTATTTTTAAATAAAAAACTGTTAGAACATCTTAAAAATTAAATTATAATAGAAAGCCTATGTGGTGATAATAATCTTACCTATAGATTTTATGAGAGGTCATTTAAATGTAATTTTAGAATTTATTATGATTATAATCAGTATTGAGGATATACAATTTGCTGTTGGAAGTTGGTCTAAGGGGAAAAAATGTGCAGACTTCTTTTTGGCAATATAAATCCTGTTTATAGAATTCTTAATACCTTACTATATTAATTGGTTGGAATGAAAGCACAATTAATGAGTTTGACAAAAACAGAGAATTTCTGGTTCCTATCCCTTAAATCATATTACTACAACAATTGAACATTGACAGAAGTTAATTAAATTATAAGGAAAAGTGAGCTAAGAATAAAAATATTTCAACAGTTCCTTATAATATTATATAAATAATAAATATTGAACTTAATGAACTTTTTAAGTTAAAATAATCTACATTTCAATATATAGAATTACAAATTGATAACTTGTATAATTTTGTATCATACAATAGATTGGAAATGTAAATTATTGGGTAGTTTAAGCTCAGTTTAACTCAGCATGATTAAATTATTCAATATTAAATTATAAAACAAAAATATTACCTCATCAGCTCCATCATTCACCATAGCTTCAATTGCATTCAATACTAAGTTAGAACCTAAAATATAGACAATTTGTTTATTGAAAAATCTTAAACGCTATTTTAGTTAGTTTTAATAAATCATGGATCATAAGATAAATACCAATATGCTGTTTTCGGTAATTTTCATCAACTGCCAACATTGCAATATAACCTCTTCTAACTTTTCTGTGCGCGTCTAACTTACACACAATTGCTCCGACACTTTTATCTACATCTACAGCCTAGAACATAATACAATAACAGACAAAACATTTTACACAACTATTTTAAGAGCTGTGTAAACAGATGTTACACAGTAAACATTGAATAACCACATAAGTAAAACTCACAAGGAAACACAGCTTAGGCCAATTGTGTATGAAATAGCGGTACGTGTAGATGGAATACGGTTCAGATAAGTCTTTTTGTATTAACCGCATAATATCTTTCATCTGTTGCTCGTTTTTATAACAAACATATTTTACACCGTCAATTTGTTGTAAGCCTTCAGCGGGGTCGCTATTATTTACATCACTGGACGAACACGACGGCTTACATTGACTAGAGGACGATGAGGAAGTCGACGACGACGATATAGAATTCAAACAGGGCAAATTATTTTGCGCTACATCGCCGCCATAGACGTTATTTTCGGATATCGATAGAAGATTCACATCCGCAATTAGGTCGGTGTTTGTGTAAACGATGGGTTCGTTTACACGGTTGACGACGTCAGGCAGAACCACAGCCTTGGCATCATCTCTTGTGTCTAGCTCGTGGGATTGAAGTTGTACGTCTGCCATTTAGATTACCGTTTAATTCCGGCATTAATAGTTATTATGACATTATTTCTCGATCCGAAACGTAAAGCGTGTCGGAATATCAAATTTAGATTTTACTGATTTTAAACACATAGGACATAGCTCACATTCATAGTTATACACCATTATTATTATTATTATTATTATTACTATTAATATTATCATCATTGGACTACGATTGATTATGACTGTTAACACATTTTCATGGAAGAAACGAGAGAAGAGGAGCAAAAATAGACTAAATACAATATTTTATTATATCGCAAATTATCTCTCTTTTCTGAGTATATTATTAGCACGATTGCGTTACATAAGTAATCTCAAGCCAGGGCAAGTTAATGATCATTTTTGATTAAGTTAAGTTAAGTTGATAGAACATTTAAAGTTAAAAGTTAATAGTTCTCCTAATTTTTATTTTAACTCGGTGAAGTTAAAGGTTAAATGGAAACATTGGGAACGTACAATTAATTTATGAACTTAAGTTAGGTAAGTTATTTTCTTTTTCATTTTTATACATACGTAGCAAGTGATATGGTTTAAAATAATAAAAAGTAAACGTTTATGCAATATGTGTCATCAATAATAATTTTATTATATTTATTATTAAATTATTTATAAATTAACGAAATTGGATTTAAATACAAACAATAATAAATTATTATGTATTAGCTATGATGGAAAATTATTAAAATCGTACAAAATTTCCCTTCGCCCTTTATGTAAGGTTATGTCGCTAAGGACTTAATTCACAAAGCACTAACAAGTTAAATGTACAGATGAATAAAATAACAGAATTATAGTCACTTTAAAATCAAAATTGATTAACCTTTATGCAACAATGTTTGTTTAATTTTTAAAAATTTGCATTAAAGACTCGTCAAAAATTTGATGGTAGTGTGTGAAAAATATACTTACTTCATACATAATATATTTATTACATTGAACGACAGATCAGTTCCAACTACTTCCAAGTCACCATGTCCCCATCAATATCAGTATTCTTATACTCTTGTCGACCCTATTATTATTTTGTTTGGACGTGTATGCAGATGATTTCCGCCATTTGTTTTCAACAAGCTCGTAGTACAATTTCTCTTCATACATCTATTGATCTGAGTAATGAGTGTCTATATATATTATACTACCTACCAACATCGCGGTTATGCTCCGAACTATTAAAATGGTTGACGATTTGGTCACCATAACTAAATAGTACCCAAATATAGGTTGGTGCTGTACTGCTGTAAGTTTAACTTTTTTTTACCAAAAACATCGCAAACATGGTTTATGCGGCCAATGTTTCAGACACTGAAGAATGTGCATATAGATATTTAAGATATATATGCATCGATTGAAATTAAATGATTCAGTAAATATTTTTTATACGGTTTGTTTGATCACAGAATATTTGTGACAGTACAGGTGGTGTGGACTTTTTTGCCAGTGAGACATATAAGAACCTATATAAATTAATTTCAGTTGCATCTCCCACATATTTTATTTATTACTCGCTCTGCTGCAGCATCGCGAGTACCTACCAACCGTGGGAGCTCACGTCCCACTCAATATAAAATTATCTATACTTCAATAACAATTTAAATAATATTCATGATAATAATATTCAATGACCCAATTATTATTACCTAAATAAATAAAATATTTAAATAATAATATTGGAACCTAAAAAACTAAAAATTCTCTAGATATAGATGAGATATATTATATACCTACTGCAGTCGTCAGTGACGCGTGTGTGACACGCTATAATACAGTACTACAGTAGTACACTATATTGACAGTAAATTAAGGGAGTTTGTACAATAAATAGACACAGCTACATTTTTCGACAAAATCGGGTTTTAATCGAATTTGATATAGCAAATAATGACGGGGTTTTCTGTACAAGAACGAGACAAATCCGACCACCCGCATAGGAAATATATCATAATGTATAACTGGGAACTGCCTGGTTTTTTTTCTGTTGAAAAACCAGATGGCTCCGGATAGCTCCGAACTCCGAAGGTTTTTTGTGTTCCCTGAAAGTTTTGAAAAATGGAGCTATCTGGTCATTGCAAAGACCCCTTCAAATGTACTGACTACTGGCATATACATGTCACATTGACAGAGGCATATTATAAAATTGGGGGAGGGGGTCACAAAAAAAATGTGTTACTATAATACATACTTATTATAGAGACATACAATTTTATTTATTTTATTCAATAAAACAAATTTTATAAAAGTCTATTATAGCTAAATACCGTATTGCCTATATTGAAAGCTCTTTATAGAAATGTTATACTTGGGCTATATATTTATTATTTTTAATGATTTTTTCATTTCCACGTCTTTAAATCGTTATCGATAGCAAAAACGAAGGAAACAATAAAATTTACCATTGCATTTACCATTTTTGTTTTTACCATCGAGAGTCTCGGTAGTAAAAAAGTATATAATTATGGTGCAGAATGAGATGGTGGGCCCATTGTGCTCTCTTTAAATACTTCCCTGAACATGGACCTTTAAAATAAGTTTATAGGGTTAACTGACTAAGGTATATCGAATATAGATAATAAAATATAATATTAGAACGGATAAATATTAACACGTTCGGATTTTACTGTAATAATTTTTCTTTCTGCCTATCGACTCGTTGATTATAACTTTCATGATATAGATCGTATTATAGGTACATACCGTGCACATACAAAGTACCTACAGACGCCTGACACGTGTCCCTGACTTACATTAGGTATAGGTACTCCTTTCATTAATATTAACCTATTACAACTATTGAAATTCCCTCCCTGCTTCTACATTCCAATATAACTATAATATATAGCCATCGCTCGACACTCACACTTTCCCGCACGTGTAGGTAGATACAATACATCATAGTATTGTATAGTATCATTATTTCCGACAGTCTAACCTCCACAGGTCTAGTAGATATAATAATTATGACATGACAGTATAATGTATTGACATTGGAATTTGGAAACTAGCGATTTTCAGAGCCTATGCTTTATGTAATCTACATAAGAAAAAAGACTTGGGAAACAAATCGAACTTAAATGTATCTATTAAAACTAATTTTATCGGCCTCGCAAAAATCCATTGAAAAAAGTTGCACCCTTCTCCAAAACTTATCAGTGTTAGAATATAAAAAATATATCAACACAGTTTTATGGTACAGACATTTTAAGTACAAGTTTGAACAAAATTAGAATAACGTTAATACGCTATGTTAGTTACTTAATACTTCGTTTTGATTAAAAAACATTATTCGTAGCGAATTTACGTAACATAACATTTTTACAATATGCAATGAGTGCAACCATAGGAGGCACTTGGTCCTAATTGGTGGGGAGGGAGGGGGGCAAAAAAGAATCACAAATTACTGACCCATTTGAAATATTATAAGTTTTCCCTCTCAATATTTTTTCTGTGGAGGAACCGCTCCTCGTGGCCCCCTCATATGACACCTATGCAGTGCCAATGACATTTTCAAGATATTTTGATTAATTTTAACCTATCTGTACCATGGACTGTACTCCGGTCTCCGGCAAGGTAGTATCATTGATTATAGAATTTATTTATTTATTCTATAATCAATGGTAGTATCAATAAATTATATAGTTAATAGTCTTAATATAGTCTAGAATATGATGTGATAGAAGTATTCAAATAAACAATAATATAATATTTAAATATTGATTATCGGATTCAAATTTAACACAACCATTACAGTCACCCACTATATCTCACTTTTTAAAAAAATTTTCAAAATTTCATATACTTAATGGGGTTATATTTTCCGGGGTTCTTCTTTCAGGGTTATTTTTTTCGCAGTGCTGTTCGGAGGAAGGCTCAATAAAAAATTGAACTCGCCTCAATTAAAAAATTATTTGGTGTGCCCGCAGAAATATAAATTGGGTGGGGGGGGACAAAGTCAAAAGTCTTATAATACAGCATATATATACTATAAAAAAAACCAAAAAGATTCAAATTATTTTATACCTCATAATATTGAAACGACTTAATTGCTTTATGTTTATACTATATATACATACAATTGGATTTTATTTTTTTATTTTTTTCCTGGAGGTAGTTTTTTTCTTTTGGTCCGATTACTGAGTAATATTTAAACATCTTAACATCTTAATAAAACTCTTGACGTGTTTGTTAAGTTTTTTTTATAATATTGTGATGATGCGAATTTATAAATATTTATAAAATTATAAAATATGATGTAATCCGTAATCGGCCGATTATTTATAGTGTTGTTGATAAATAATTCGACCGCGTCCGACAGACCACAGAATATTATAATATTATAATATATATGGAATTTCACCTATTTTGTGGCGGTACGGTAAATGATAACGGGTTATCATTACGGCGCAGTTATTCTTTTAAGGTTTTTTACATTGATTTTCGTTGCGACGTCGACGTCTCGTCGTCTCTCCAACCGGCGACCCTCACCGCGCAACCAGCGCTGAAGTGCACAACGTTTACCGTCTTGTCGGTCGTCGCGCCCGTGTCCCCACGATACCAGTGACTGTCGTTCGCGCGCGTGATAATAGCGTTACACTACACCGTTTTCGCTCCTGTCACTCGCCGCAACTCCATCTCGCCCCCTCCCTCACGCTCACTCACTCTCTCTCTCTCTCTCTCTCTCTCTCTCTCTCTCTATCAATACACCAGCCTGCTGCTACACATTTTCCGTTTTTTTTCCACGTCGTTTTCGGCTGGTCCAAGGACTTCCGCGGCCGTCACCTCGCCATACGTAGTACGTACGTATGCACATTAATAAGCGCCACTTCTTTGCGCGTAATTATTCACCATAGTTCATTATCCGTCACGTTGCCGGTCAGTAGCGCAGTTCGTGGTATCCGACACCTATTCCCTCCCGGCACACAGCGCATTATTCACAATAATATTCGTTCGGTGCTCAGTAGTCCACGACACAGCTGTTCGTCCGGTCGTGTGCAGTGGTCGTCCGAGGAGATTTCAGGCAGTAGCACACCTGAACCCCATGTAGGTAGCTCGCGCCGAGACGGTCCGCCCGAAAAGGATTTCGATTTTTTTTTTTGCAATCAGTTCCCTTCTTTTCGCGCGTCAACGGGCCCGCGACGACGACTACACGCTTGCCACAGCGGACTATAATATACATCATCGATCCGGCGACACCGTCGTCAGACACGGTACCATCGATCTCGTCGTCCGAACGCAGAAAGTAAGTCACACCGAATTCGTAAATCATAACCTAGTTTTTTTTTTTTTTATGTAATCCTCAACTACTGTTATCAGACAGTTTCTCTCGCTCGTCGTCCGTCGCACGACGCATCACTCACTCGACTCCCTCTTCCACCACTCCAATCGTCTGGGCGTTTTTTCGACGATCCTGACCCAACATTACGCGAGTTACTGCAGTTATTAGTGTTATCCTAGGTCAAGGTGACATTAACATAAATCATGTCGGATGATCCGTGTCCCTGTCCCCCTACGAGCAAAACCCATTTGACCCACTGCTGCAATAATTAACTCGTCGTTTTTTTCCTTTCCCAGTCAACTACCTCAAGTAGGTACTGTAAAAATGGGTTTAGAATTGCATACTTATATTATACCACTATAATTTATTACCACAATAAAACTATGTACCTAAGTTACCTACACATTTAATACATTCAGACATTTACACTTTGTATCATATTATTATACTTTGGACCTTAGGTAGAGCCTACCTATATTAGTGTGCCCTCTTTGTTTTTATTATTGTACGTTATAATCCGCAAACCTATAAACAATAACTAATATGTTTATATAGGTGCATACATTGCGTAATACATGTTGCACTTGGTTAATATAGGCCTCTTACCAATCACCATACCTACGGGGACCACGGAAGACTAATAAATTTAATTAATCTGTGGTCTGTGATGAGGACCTATATAGTAAATGATAGTGCAAAAGTGTTATTATTCTGAATTATCAAGAAACTTAAGAATGTATTTTACTAATTTATTCTGATTTCAAACGAGTAATTACTAATTAATAATTATCTGATTATTTCTACAGTTAATTATTTAATACTTTTAGATAATTGGATGATAACATTCTAAACTTGATAACATTTGTCAAATATAAAATATTGCTCAATATTAATTCCTGTAATCTAACATTTTGCTTACATTGATAAAAAAGAAAAACTGCTAACTAGTAGGTAGTTATTTAAATTACTCAATTATAAAGTAGGTAGTTAACTAGAAATTATGGTGACATGGTATGTGGAAAAATAAATACCAACTTATAAAATAATCAAAACATATTAAAACATAAATGTGTTTTTTAATTTAAATGCAATTTAATATCAATATAACTTATTAAATTATTTTACCCCTAAATGACATTTTGTCTTTAAATGAGAAAAACTAAATGTCCTTGTACCGCTTTCAATTGCCGTTTGGCTTTGTACCAGAAAGTGTGTTGTTAAATATTCTATTTATAATTTTACTATTTGTCTTACATAAAATTATAGAACAAGCATATAAATCTCATGTGTACAGGTAATTTAAACTTGAAATTCATGAAATTGAAGACAATACATACAATTAGTTGTTATTTGTTATTGCTTAATGTCTCAGTTTTTACACTAATTTTGCTCTCTGGTGGGTTATGTACAAACCAAGTGTGAAATATTGGAATATCTGGATTATAATCATGAATGTCGTATTTTGCATATTTGCATTTACATAATATATAATATATATATGTTAGATATATACCTAGGTATCATATTATAAATTCATAGGTTAGGTTAGATTAGGTTTTGAGTTCATATTTTATTTTCATTTTTTAATTCATTTTGAATTATGTTTTAGAATTTATTATTTATTACAAATTATACAGAACAGCCATTTTTAGCTTATAAATAATAAATAATTACAAAAATCTGCAAATTACCTCTATTAACAATACTTAGGTAGGTACTCTATAGTCCAATAATTTAGCTGCTTTAACAAATCAAAGAAAGATTTCTCATTGTTATTGCATTTATTTTTCAGTCCCTAATAATAGAACAGGATATCTTATTTGTATACTTTTTTACAACTTATCATAGCCTATCACACTTTTTTTCTGATTTAAAATACAACATTTGTTTATTGTAATAACATATACTTACCCTTTATGTACCTTTTATTCTATAAGTAAATGTATTAATCCCACATTCCACATATAGTAGTACTTATAAAAATTGTCATGGATAAAAGCCCCATAAATTAACACACCACTAAAAAAGGCCATTGGCAAGCGCCATACAATTTTACTATTTTATTTTTTTAAATTATTTCGTTGATTATAACTCCAAAAACACTGATGAAGTTCTACGTATTTTCTTGTACTGAAATACCAATTTGTCAATAATACTATGCTGTTGATAAGTATTTTAACATTATGACTGGTTTAAGCAAAGTACAGTTTACTTAATTTATATTGGTAAGTAAGTACTAAGTACCAAACAATATAAATTAAATAAAATATCAAAATGCTTATTTATAGTTGGGTAATAAAAATTGCAATTTATTGATAACCGATAGATGGTCCATTGATTGGTGTAGATATTCATCCCCCTTGTGTCTAAATCATTACATAAGATTACACTTGGGCTATGAAAAAGAAACAAAATTAATAAGAACACAAATAAAATGTAAAACTCATATAACTTCAATTTTGAAGTCAATTAAATGGAGAATTATAATTATAACATTATGTTATACTTTATTTGATTAGATAGATGAACAGGTTAATTGGTCAATTATCATAATATGTTTTTTATTTGTGATTTTATTTTTCAAACATATCTATTACTCTTGATTACTTATAGTTATTACATTTGTATCAAAAAAACTTCAACAATCAAAAATAAATTTAACAAATTTATTAATAGATACATTTATTTATATTTATATTTACCTACATTTTTTTTGATGGATTTTGTATTATTGGGCTTTTTTTCACAGTTCCATAAAAATATTTCAAATTTTACAAAATTTTAGTTATGGGTTGGTATTTACATTTTATGGATTAAAAAATGTATCAATACTTAGAGTATAAACCTAGAAACCTAATTTTACCTACTATCTCTTTGTGGAAGCTTTGTGGTATAATTATTATCAATTTAAAATCCATATTTTGTATGTTTTGTACCTAATGAAATCATTTTTGTAAAAGTAAATGATCTTGCTTATTTAATAATTTTTAATAATAATCAACAATTACTAACCTACTCAATTTTGTGTGGCAATTTTAAAATACCTAACATTTATTTTAATTTTAATATTCACATAAAACTCATATTACACAAATCATATAATTGGTATATACCTATATGTCTTGAAGTATTTAAAATATTTATGCATAAATTATGTTTTGTTTAATTTTTCTATCTACTAACATCAATTATTGAATTTGTTTAGGAAAAATGCATCGAGCACAGTCAGTTGTAAATCAATTAGTTCCTTGTGTGCCACAAATCGTTGGCAGACAAAAATTTGCGACATGGTTAATTGGACCTAAATCTAGATCTCTGATAAGAGCTACCCAATCATTACCCGTTACAGAGAATAAGTATTCAACTAATGTTAACCAAGAGCAATTTCTTAATGGTACTTCAGCTTCTTATATCGAGGATATGTACAATGCATGGTTAGCAGATCCTAAAAGTGTCAATGTTGTAAGTATATATGTTTCGATTTATTTAAAATTTAATATTTTTCATTACTTATTAATTGTTATGTATTTTTATAGTCTTGGGATACTTTTTTTAAAAACTGTGATGCTGGAGCTCAGCCAGGTGCAGCATATCAGGCACCACCATCATTGGCTCCACCAGGAAAAAATGAAGTATTATTGTCTAGTTTATTACCTGGAGGACAAAGTGCAGCAGCTATTGGTGGAGGATTTAGTGAAAAACTTATTGACGATCATTTGGCAGTACAAGCGATTATAAGATCATATCAGGTATAATATTTTATGTTATAATAAGTTAAAGATTTTTAATTTATAATATAAAATATTAGATTAAAGTTTGATAAAAATTGTATTATAACAAGTAAATGATAAAATGTATTTATTATTATTATATGATAGATATGCAATAATACTAGTATATTTCACCTGGTCCTCAAAAATATTTTCAGATAATTGACAAAAAGTATACCTAATATCTTAATATCCTCTTTAAAACGTCCTACAAAATGTCTCATATAGCAATCATAGTCTAGTTTACACATAGTTTATACATGCTCAATGTCTGTATGTATGTAGATCTTCACACTGATGTATATTGACACACAAACCTAATCCATGTGTTTTAGGGCCTTGGGATATTAGAATTAATCCAACATAAAAGTAATATCAGAAATACCAATAGTGATTAATAAAATTGTGATATTTCAGTTGTATATTTTATAAAAATAAATATTTATAAATTTGAATAATTCAAATTTAATTAGTATATTCTATATTAATTACTAAACATATTTAATTTTAACTTTGGGTATCTTATTTTACATTTGAATATGAGGTATATTTAATATATTTCGAGATTTAATGAATGCCAATTGATACTGTATTTGATATTGGAGATAGTTGTTATAAAATTACATTATTGAATTTTTTAACTTTGAAAATGTTGACTGATATTTTTCAAATGTATATCTTCTATCTTAATTGATTGTAATAATATTTGTTTGGATAAGCTAGACATTATAAATATCTAATAAGGAATATATTACCTAAGTTTTATACACTATAGGTTCGAGGTCATTTTGTATCTCAAATTGATCCCCTTGGATTTACAAATGCAGATTTGGTAAAGGCTCGCAAAAAAGGTAGACCTCATGATGTTGTTCTAAGACAACATTCAATTGGTAAGATTGGGCTAAGAATGTAAATAGACATTTAAGGTATTTTTAAAAAGTTTTGTTTTTATGTTATCAGTACTAGTTTCTGGTGTGTGCATGTCTAAATTGAATTTTTCTCTTAACCTTAAGTGACTGAATTATTGATTATTAATACTAAAAATATTATTAATTTTGACCAATTTCATAATATAATACCAATAGTTCATATACACACACATTATACTAATTTCTATACATGTATTAAATCTTGTATTGGTTTTTAAATATTTCTAAAAATACAGATTGATTTATTTATTGAGATGAGATAGGACCAAAAATTAATGAAATGAATACAATATTAAACCAAGGCCCATGTATTTGCAAGTGGTATATAATATTATATCTACTTTTTTTTATATATTGACAATATTAAATATCCAAAAAAAAAAAAATATAAATAAATATATGATAAATCATTAACACAAAATTAAAAACATGTGAAATAAGTTGTATTTACAAATATTACATTTTTTAATTTTAAAAAATCAGTCAGTTGTATTAAACCTTATGACTATCTCTAAACTCACAGTTAATTAATATTTGTATTGTTTTTGTATATTTTTGTTTTTATAACTGTAATATATTGATCAATTTAAAAGAGGGAGAAATTATTTTTGTATAGTTTCCTTTCTATGTTGGACTTATTGATTGATATAATATTAATTAAATTAGCGTGTTTAACAATAATATAGTTTAAAGTTATATGAAAAGTTTTTGTAATTAATTGATTTTAAATATTAAACTATGCATATTAATGTACATCAATATCAATATCAATTTTAATATGTGCATTGTGCTACAATTTTTATATTGCAAATTTAATTCAAATCATATTATAATCAGATTTAAAATCTTTAATTTACCAGTAATTTCAGTACAAATTATTGTATCTTATAATAGGCATAAGGTGTGTACAATTTAGTTAGGTACATTAAATTGGGTACTTATACTATTTATTTGTTTTGGATTTTTCTACTGCTCATATACTTTGATAATTTACTAATTATTTATTACTCTAAAAGGTTTGATAATTAGTTTAAAATGTAATCATTTAATATAATTTTCTAATTTTTACTAATATTAATTGTATGGTTGTTTTAAATAAAAATGTTTGTGCTTTTTTTTGTTTGTCGTCCTATTAGATACGAGGACATCATATTGCACGCCTTGATCCTTTAAATTTAAGTAAAGTCGACCAAGATGATAGATTTCCTCAAGAGATTTTATATGGTTGCTATCCTCCATTTGGTAAGTAGTACAGTCTGCATTGTACACTAAAATTTTAACTGCAATATTGTGTTTGTTTATTAAAATTGTTTTGTGACTACAGATTATAGCTAATTTTATTTTTATAATATATTAATAAATAATAATATTTAGTATATTTAAATGCGTAATTTGCATGAGATTTTAACTAATTTTTTAGTTTATGTAGGTAATATTCATATAAATGCTAATGTATTATGTAAAGATAAAGTATATTACATTCAAACTTTCATTTAATTAGCCCTGAATACATTATAACATTTATATTAGGTACTGTAATTATTATAATAACTAATAAGTATTACAATTTATAAAATGTATTAATAACTTAATTTAAATTTCATGCATATGATTGATTTTTAAATTTTTTTAGATAATATATAATATTATATATAGATTAGAAATGTAATATGAATACCTATTCATTCTTAAATATTTAAAGAAAATAAACATCAATAAATTTATTAGACTACTTATACAGTTATAGCTTATTAAATGGACAGATATACATTACTAACTTTAAATATTAAATTTTTGTTCTATTTTTAGGTTCATTTTATTAATTCTATGAAGTGTAAACTAAGAAAGTATATATGATTTACATAACATAAATGCAAACAATTTTATTTGTTTTTTCAATTTCTGCATTTTGTTATTAACACAAATTATTATCCATGTTATTTTCTATTTTATTAAAAACATGATCCTAAAATTTGCTTTTTGTTGTTCATTGCTGCTTGTATTGTCAATTTTGCTTTTTCATACACATTTATAGTTTAACTCCAATTGTATGATTACAAGTTAGTATCTGTCCATTAAATTTCATTGTTTACTACTACTCATGACCCTATTCTTGTAAATTAATTATTAATTAATAATGATACATTTTATGTATCTAGGGAGAGTAATTTATTTAGAAAGAACTTAATCAACATTTATTTGTTAAGATAACACAAGATCACACTCTTAAATTATAAATTACTCATGATTTAAATAGTTTTGAAAGTAGAAAAATCTGTTTGATTAAAAGTCACTAAAACAATTTCTATTATTTTGTTTAACATTGTAGATTGATAATACATTTTAACTTAGTGTAGATATTTTATCAATTAGAATTTGTTTTAGTTCTTATAATTTAATACTTAGTACACTAATCCTTTACTTATCACTTAAAAGCACTTAATAGAAATAATTATCTTCTTTTAATTATTTTTATTTTTCTCTAATTAAGTATTCCTAATTTTAACTTTAATTAAATAATTATTGATGTTTCCTTCCATTTTTCTCTGCCCTATATATTTCCTTTTAGTTCCTTATACATTCTTATTCCTATGTCTTCTATCACTTGTTTCATGAAGTGTTCTAGGCCTTTCCTTTCTAGGTTTCTTTTACATTTTTCCCTTTATAATTATAATTATCCGAGGACTTTTTCTTTTTAGATGTTCAGTCAATATTTTTCTCCTTAAATTCAGTCATAGGCGCCGCCAGAAATGTTGCCAGGGGGTGCATTGTGTATAGTATACACTGATTTATAAATCATGCTTAAATTACGTAGGAATATTTTTTCAAATTATACGACAATATAAAGTTATTTTAGTTTTTTTCGATAGTTTTAAAATAATGCAAGCTATTAGAAAATCCTAAAAAGACTAGATGAGGATACCAAATTTATTGAAAATGCAATTTCGGAATTTGGGAAAATCCTTGGATCCTACAGTTATTATTTAAAAAAATAGATATTTATTTTAAAATAAAATATTTTTAATACTACTGATTTTTTTTAAATCTCAATCTTTTTTTAATGCCAGGGGGGTACAAGTGCACCATTTTGCACCACATTTGCTTTGCCCATGACCTCAGTGTATTTCATATTAATTATTGAATATTCATCCTTTTAAAAACCAACATTTTTACTTTTTTTATTCATTGAATTTTTAAACACAACTTTTCCAACACCATACTTCAAAATCCTCTATTTTAAATTTCTTGGCCTTCATTATAGTCCAAGTCTCTACTCCATATTTTAAACCTAATTAACATTTTTAATTTTTGTTGATTTTTGGACTTGTTTTTTTTTAAACTGAGAGTTTATTTGTAGGCAAACCACCCGATAATACTACATATTCTCAACACCTACAGAATAAAGTAGCCGAATTAATGGGTATGTAGTAAGTTTGTGCTATTTATACATATATTTTTATTATTATTTATGCATGCTCAACATTATTGATGACTTTGTGTGTGTTCTGATTGATTTTTTACTAACATGACTATTGATTAAATTTTGTGTGAATGTAAAATCTCATCATTTAGGTGCACCCACACTTAAAAAGATAATGTATTTTCCATTTTTTTATTATTACTATTATTATTTTAAATGTTATTTATTTGAGTTAATACAACTTCTTTGTTTCATTAAATAACAGAGGAAGCTGATATGGAACGTGTTTTTAAACTACCGTCTACAACGTTTATTGGTGGCAAAGAAAATGCATTACCATTAAAAGAAATTTTGAACCGTTTAGAAAATACATATTGTCGTTCAATTGGTGTTGAATTCATGTTTATAAATTCATTGGAACAATGTAATTGGATTAGGCAACGAATGGAAACACCAGGCATAATGGAAATGGATAAAGATCAAAAAAGGCTTATATTAGCCCGACTTACTCGAGCCACAGGGTATAAAACCAATTTATTTACTAGATAAAATAATAGCTAATAAAAATTTCCAATACTTCTAATTGATTTAACATGAATCTATTTCATCCATTGTAACATAATATATATTTTTTTTTTATTGTTTGAAATGTTTGGGTTTTTTTTATTAGATTTGAATCTTTCTTGGCTCGTAAATGGTCGAGCGAAAAACGATTTGGTTTAGAAGGGTGTGAAATTTTAATACCGGCCATGAAACAAGTTATTGATAAGTCTACTGAGTATGGTGTAGAATCAGTTATTATGGGTATGCCTCATCGTGGGAGATTAAATGTTTTAGCAAATATTTGTCGTAAACCTTTAAGTCAAATATTTACGCAATTTGCTGCGTTGGAAGCTGAAGATGATGTAATTTAATATTTAATTTATAGTTTAATTTTGTATAAGAAATGATTACAAATAACATAAAAAGTGAAATTGTTTTTAATAAACATTATTTTTAGGGATCAGGAGATGTTAAGTATCATTTGGGTACATACATAGAACGTTTGAATCGTGCAACAAATAAGAATGTACGTCTAGCTGTTGTGGCTAATCCATCACATTTAGAAGCTGTAGATCCAGTGGTACAAGGGAAAACTAGAGCTGAACAGTTCTACAGAGGAGACGGTGAAGGAAAAAAAGTTAGTATTATAATTTAATTATAATGTAAAAATTAAAAACAGGTAAATGGAACACATTATTTTTATTTAAAAAAAACATTATTTACTATACTATTATTAAAGAAATATTGACTTCTTGTGAGTGGAGTGGATGTTGTTTTACTTATAAAATTCAGTATCATATTCTTAATATGGTATAATAAAAAATTTAAATTTGAATATAAATTTGTTAATCCTTATTAATTTTTTTAATGACAAATTATAGTTCTATTGTATTTATTATAACTTTATACTATTATTGTTTTTAATTTAGGTTATGTCTCTTTTACTTCATGGAGATGCAGCGTTTTGTGGTCAAGGTGTTGTGTATGAAACATTCCATTTATCTGATCTTCCCGATTATACTACTCATGGAACAATTCATATTGTTGTTAATAATCAAATTGGTTTCACTACTGATCCGCGACATTCACGATCGTCACCGTATTGTACAGGTAATGATTCCAAACAGTAAAAAATATATTATTGCTTACATTTAAAAAAACGAAGATATTAAATAATTGATTCAAATTCATTTATACCATAAATTATTACACCATAAAAAAAAATTAAATGCTGTGGGCGCTTCAAGTACATATTTATTTTATGAATTATGTTTTGTAATTATATGGAACCCTCACCGCAAGCAATATGAATCAACTTGAAAGAGTCCAACAAAAGTTTTTGAGTTTTGCAGCATATCTATTAAATATAGAACACAGACCTCATGTTTATGATACAGTAAAGATAGGTTAGGTTTACAGTCTTTGGTCAATAGATGTATCACCATTAACAAGGTCTTCCTAGTCAAACTCATCAATGAGTAGATAGACTGTCCTGAACTTCTATCCAAAGTCAACTTTAAAATTCCCTGTGTCCAGGTCCATTCTTCCTATCCTTTCAGTATTCCACTGTGTACGACAAATTATTCCCATAACAAACCACTAAATAAGATGATACGTATTGCCAATGAGGATCCGTCTATTAGTTTTTAAGTTAAGTTTGTAATTCTTTTCTTTTGTCTTATTTTCTTCTCTATTTGAATTATTATGTCTACTACACATTTTGTATTGTACTTATATTATGTTAAATTTATATTCTGTGCTTTGGGCTTAAAATAAATAAATAATATGGTTTTAAAATTGCATTTAAAAATGATATCTAAGTATATTATAATTTATAAATCAAGTATAATATTGTTTATTATAGATGTTGCTAGAGTTGTAAATGCTCCAATTTTCCATGTAAACTCTGATGATCCCGAAGCAGTTATGCATGTCTGCAATATTGCTGCTGAATGGAGAAATGTTTTCCATAAAGATGTTGTCATTGACCTTGTAATAATTTAATAATTAATAAATATTTGTGTTCTTACTTAATTTCTATTTTCAATTAAAGGTAAGTTACAGAAGATATGGTCATAATGAAATAGATGAACCCATGTTCACACAACCTATCATGTACAAAGTAATAAAAAAGACTCCACCAGTTTTGGACAAATATGCAGCAAAATTAATTGAAGAAAAAGAAGTTACTCAAGAAGAAGTTAAGGTAAAATTAAATTAAATTAAATTGAATTAAGCATTTTAAAGTAATAAATATGTTAATATCATATCGTTTAATGTACAATTTAAACATAATTTCACAATATTCTTTAGGACGTTTGGGATAAATACGATAAAATTTGTGAAGAAGCTTATACTGCTTCACGTAAGGAAACTACCATTAAATATAAAGATTGGTTAGATTCCCCATGGTCCGGATTCTTCGAGGGCAAAGATCCATTAAAAGCCTCAAAGTCTGGAGTAAAAGAAGAAACATTAATCCATATTGGCAAACGATTTTCGTCACCTCCTCCAAATGCTGCTGAATTTGTTATACATAGAGGTACTTAAAAATTAGTTATTACTTATTTTTGTTGTATAATTTTTTTGAATGGTGTTTTTAGAATTCATTAATTTTATTAAAAAATATATTTTATGTAGGTACCACAAATGGTTTGAATTATTAAATTAAGGTTTCACTAAAATGAGACAACATATTAGTATAAATTATACTATTAAATATACATAATTTCATTTTAGGTATTGAAAGAATTTTAAAGGCTCGCATGCAAATGGTTGAAAATCGTACTGTTGACTGGGCATTAGGAGAGGCAATGGCTTTTGGATCTCTATTAAAAGATGGAGTTCATGTTCGATTAAGTGGACAAGATGTTGAAAGAGGCACATTTTCCCATCGACATCATGTACTTCATCACCAACTTGTTGACAAAGCCACATACAGACCTCTGTGCAATTTATATCCTGACCAAGCATCATATACTGTATGCAATAGTTCTTTGTCTGAATTTGCTGTGTTAGGTAACTATTTCATTATTTTATTATAATAAATATATACAATGCATACTTTAATATTATTCTTATCTCTTATCATTATATTTTTATTCTATGTTGGGTATGATAAAAAAAATATTGATAGAATTTAATTAAAATATGTAATTTTTCCATTTAAGGTTTTGAATTGGGATTTTCAATGACTAATCCAAATGCTTTGGTGTGCTGGGAAGCTCAGTTTGGTGACTTCAATAACACTGCTCAATGTATAATTGATCAGTTTATTGGCTCTGGACAAGCTAAATGGGTTAGACAATCTGGTCTTGTTATGTTACTGCCTCATGGTCTTGAAGGAATGGTAATATTTTATAATCGTTATTGATGTTTATGTATAAAATTTAAATGAAATATAATTATTTTTGTGCTTTTAGGGACCGGAACATTCATCAGCCAGACTTGAAAGATTCTTGCAAATGAGTTCTGATGATCCAGATTATTTCCCTCCAGAAAGCGATGAATTTGCTGTACGCCAATTGCATGATATTAACTGGATTGTAAGTATTAGTTTTTATAACTAAAAATTTTTTTTTAACATATTTTTTTTTGTTATTAAGGTTGCAAATTGTTCTACACCAGCTAATTATTTCCACATACTTCGTCGTCAAATTGCCCTACCGTTCCGTAAACCACTTATTATGATGACTCCTAAATCTTTGTTACGTCATCCTGAAGCTAAGTCTAGTTTTGATGAAATGAATGAAAACACTGAATTTTTGAGAATAATCCCTGAAAAGGGTACTGCAGCTGATAATGCTTGCAATGTTAAACGATTAATATTCTGTTCTGGACGAGTATACTATGATTTAACCAAAGCAAGAGAAGAACATAATCTTGTGGATACTGTAGCTATTGCTCGAGTTGAACAAATATCACCATTCCCATTTGATTTAATCAAACAAGAATGCGCCAAGTACCCTAACGCAGATATTGTATGGTCACAGGAAGAACATAAAAATCAAGGACCATGGCCTTATGTGCAACCAAGGTTTCACACAGTATTGAACAACACCAAAACTATTAGGTGAGTTAACTTAGAAATTTATTTGGGAATATAAGAGTTATTTTAATGAAAATATAAACAACTATGAATAAGTACAATAGTAACTAGTAAGACACTCAATTATGTGCAAATATAAACATATGTTTGGTAATAGTGTAATGATCAGGATTAATAGCAGTGTTGAAAAGGATTCCTGGAACAAAGTTTTAAAAATAAAGACAAACAAAGAAGAAAGTGAACAAGTTCTTTTTTTTTGAGGAGCGTGGACAAAAATCATAGTTCTTTAAAATTTTAAAAACATAAACTATACCTAATAAAGTTTTCTTTGTTTTTATGCGTTAATATGTAAAAAGGTATTTTTAGTTGATTTACATTTAATTCATTGATTGTTGTTTGAACCTAATATTATAAATGACATATTATTCTAAAATGTCAATTTTTAAAATAACTCGGTGAAAAAAGGAACCAACATTGGAATGAGTTCTTTTTTTAGTGGAATTGGAATTGGAGTGAGTTACTTCTTTGAATAAATAATTGGATCTGGAATTAGTTCATATGTTAAGAAATAAACTGGAAACGGAACAAAATCTTTTTAAAAAGGAACTTTCCCAACACTGATCAAGAGTTCTATGTTTTGAATTTTGATTGGATTTATTATATTATAAAAATATTACCTTCGTAAGAATACAATTAATTTAATAAAAAAAACAGTATTAAAATTAATATTTTTACAAGAAAAAGACTTTTCAATTAGTTTATGACTAATTACATAAACTTTTTGTTCACTAATTGCTTGTCTGTCTATTTATATTTAAATAAAATAAATTTAAAGAGAGTATGCAATATGCATAGGAAAAAACAATAGTATTTTGTTATTTGTGCAGGCCATCTGTTAAAAATTCTGACGGATTTTTTTCACGAATATTTTCTTTGCGTTCAAATGACGGTGTTACAAAAACAAGTTTATCCGACCAGAAAAATCCAACTCAAAGTATTAGGTGAGATAATAATAAATAAATATATTTTAGATTCTGAGTGGGCGAGAAAGAAATGTATTGGTCTTAGAATGATGGAATGATGTGTTTTTTTTTTATCTGTCATTACTTTTTGCTGCAGTAACCAGGTTTCCGGTAACAAATTTTATCTAAATAGTCATTTAAAAAGTATGAAATTCTCAGTACTATTTATGATTATTCTATAAAACAAAGGAAAATAGGAATATTATTACACCAGTTTTTGATAAAAAAGATTCATTTGTTTTTTTGTAATAATTTCTAAAGCTGAAAGCTAGAGACTTGAAACTTTTGACAAATATTTATACTATAATTTTCCATAGGTGGTAAAATATTATGGCTCTTTTATAGCTGTTTGAAGATATTTGAAATATGTGACTTCTTTAGTTTTATTAAAAAAATTTATTGATACATTTTTGTTTCGAGGTCAAAATGATTGAAAATTAAATAAAGTTTACTCATAAGTAGTTCTAACAGTAGTGAAACGATATTAAAATACATCTTCAAAATTTTTTTATAAGCACTTAAAGTTTCAATTTTGATGTAATTTATCAAAGCCATAACAATTTTCATATTATTTGAAACACTTATTTTTCGTTTAAAGATCTAATTTTAACCAACTTTTTAGTTTTTTGATTTTAGTATGAACTACTGATGAGGAACTTTGTATTCAATTTTCATGATTTTGACCAAATGTTAGCTTATTAATGAAAAAAAATAATTGTGCCCACATATTTTAAATATTTTATAAAAACAACAACTTATGTGGGGTCTTGTACTAGAGACTTTTGACCCAGCCTAAAATAAACTAAAAAAAAAATAAGGGAAGAAGGTAAAATCCCCTCTCCTGTATTGTAGGTTGTTGAATGTACCCCACTACCCCGTCATTGAGTAAGTCACTATAATGTGTTACAATGAAATTTCTCTCCTCAGAATCTAAAATTAGAATTGGATATTATGAATATGATGGTTGTTTTTATTAACTTCAGTGAATACTCAAAAAAATGTTGCCATAATTAAAAATTATAAATATGAACATAACATAGTTATGTAGTATAGGGTGTTTACATGTAAAAAAAACTGCATAAATATAAAAATATATAAACATTTAAAAAGATAATGTGTATAATGAGTGCTTAGATGATATAATAATCTTATATGATGTGTGTGCAAATGAGTGTTTTAACTTGATGTATACAAATCAGTCAATCACCATGATTTTATTGATTGTCCAATCTGACAAGGTGCTTATTTTTTTTTTATTAAAAATTGGTCACATATAATACATATGAAAAATGTGTTTATTTATTATATACAATTGAAAATTATTGTATTTGTTTTTATAGTTATGCTGGACGACCAACAGCAGCATCATCTGCAACTGGAAGTAAAATGCAACATTTAAAAGAACTAAAAGCACTTCTGGACCGGTCATTTGCAGTTTAAAATTAGTAAAAAAACATAAATAAATTAAATGTCAACATAATATCCAAGTATGTGGTAGATGTTAATATGTTAAATCAAATTCTCTGTATTTTTAAAACATAATATGCTAACATTTTATGTATGATTCAACCTTATACATACATTGTATTAAAAATTGTTAATTTATTATTTAATAAAAATGTTATTAGTTTTTAATTGTATCATAGTATTTGATTTACAGCTTAAAATATAAGGTTTTGTTTAACTCACTTAAATATTATTGATTTTATAAACCATGATTTGTTTTTAATTTCTTGGACAGCTTTATCACCATACCTAAAATTTTTAATATCTACTATAAACTTTGTTTATTTAATTCACATAATGTTTGCATAGCAAACCAAACTAAATTATGTACTTATACCATTCAATGTGAAAGTATTTGTAAGATAGTAAATATTTAAATTGACTACCAAAAATGTATTTAGTTAACTGAGTCTTCAGTATTGTATGTTATGTTATATTATTATGGTAGTCGTTAATAATTTAAATAATTTAATGAATTTGTACCTACTGCAAAAGTATTCTTTTAAACAATCACTAATGTTATTGACTTAATGCACCAATTACCTACGATCAACTTGTATGATTAAAGCTCTATTGTGTTATTCGTTAAAATATATTTTGGTCCATACTACAGACTTTTCATTTATGTGTTATATATTTATATGCTCCACTAGAGTACTTGAACATTCTGGAAAGTCAAGTTTTGGTTCTTCACCTTTGAATTTTTAAGACGTTTTTGTTTCAAATTATTACCCGGTAAGTTATCTCTATTATTTTGATGTAAGTATACTTTTAGTATAGTTGTATAAACATATGTTATTTAGTAATGAACCTTGTACTTGTGCTAATTGCATACCTACTGGCTACTTCTATTTTTTGTACCTATTGTGTTAATGCAAATAATATTTTTGTGTACAGTTTATATTCATATATAGCTTAAGAACATAATTAGAAAAAAATATAACCTGTTAATTCAGTATGAAGGTCTTCTGTATGCAGTGAATAGTCGGTAATCCTGTCACATTATTGATATGGCCAATATTGGTAAGTATATAACTTGATATAGCAATCTTGTAAACATTAATCACTTGTTCGGTAATTTAGAGTGACATATAGGTGTCATTGTTGAATTATACATTCAGTTTGTACCTATTTATTCATCAATACTTAAAAGGAAAAACATGTGTATAACTTTAAATTATTGACACTTGCGACTGACAAACATCGGGCAGGTAGGTATACAGTATAATGATTTATTTTGTTCGGCAATAAAAAATAATATTTAAGGTTTACAAAAATAAAGTAGGTAGGCAGGTAGTAGATAACATTAGCTGGTATATAGTCAATATGAATTATCGTGTTTTATGATTAAGTACACTAAAATCGTATTGGACTGGTTTATTTAGTATTAACATAACGTGGGGATGGAGGTTCAATATTTAATATTTGAGTAAGCTTTTAATACTAGGGGGATTAAGGTTTGTTAATTCTCGGTCGCGTAGAGTTGCGTCAAATTATTCTATCGTTCAGATGTATTAATATTATTTTAGTACGAATGTGGTGTTATAATAACTCGCTGATAAAGTGAACTTCGTTATGAAGTGATATTCAAATATTAATTGTCAAACATATAATTGAAATGCTGAACGAGTTGACGGTGTAGAAAATAAATGAACGTAACAATAAAACCTTCTGAAACAATTTACCCGACTGTGAACTGTCTACTCAGGCCCGTCGTCAGATATTTTCCGCCCTAAAGTGAAATTAAATTAAATTATACAATAAAATATTTTTTTAATTTTGCCACTTCAATTTCTTCAAAAAAAAATTAAGCCGCCCTAAAGCAGCGCATAATTTGCTTGTACTTTAGTGACGGGCCTGTGTCCACCTCCCTCATCAGTCATCTCATTGTTCAGGACAACAAATGGCGTATACAAGACCATACTCAGGATGAATTTTTGTTGGGAAGATTTAACCCTTCACAACCCTCCCTCCTCTTCAATAGGTACTGCTTTGAGCGTATACACAACTTTAGTATCGGGGGTTCAAATTTGTGTGAAAAAAAGTCGTTTTTAAGTACCTATCTTAGGTATTTAGAATACCCTGAAAAAGGCCACAAAGAGATTACCTCCATATTATCATCCCCTGATCCCTTAAATCAGTGCTTTTCAACCTGTGGGCCTTGAAATATGTATTTAATTCAAAATATTTCCGATTATTTAGTTATTATATAAATGTAACATTATAAATCATACATTATACTATTATACTACCTGTGTTTGAAACCAAATCAATATTATTAGTGAATATTTTTGTATTGCTTTATAGTTATTACCAATTATTTTTTGGTTATATATGTTTTAAGTTTTATACAACTATAAAATTGCATGTTTGAAAAATATATTTAAAACCATTTATTTTCTTTACATTTTAATAATTTATTTGTGTGAAATAGTGCAAGTAAATTTAGTTTATTATTAAGACAAAATAATTAATGATTCTGATTGAGAGGGGCCTTGACAGTTTTACATTAAATTTAGGGGGCCCTATAACAAAAAAGGTTGAAAAGCACTGCCTTAAGTTCGCCCCTGAGGGTGAATTATCGAATTGAATAATACAATTAGATAGTAGATACTATAGCCATTATCACAAATATGCGGGTACCGTGGGGTACACTGTACACTGGTACCCACGATTTAAGATACTATCTTAAATCGTGATGGTACCGCACCCCGGTTTTGATAAACAAAATCTTATTAAACATTCGACTAGGTACTGATTATAATTAATTATAATATTATTACCCGTTTAAATCGATACTTAGTCATGTTCTTAAAAAGGGATGTTGGTATATGTACAGACATCGAAACAGAAATAGGCATAATATATTCACTATTCAGAACATTAAGCAAGACGGACGCAAATACTAATTAATGGTATCTCTGAGATTTTGAAACCTAATACAAAATAAAAATAAATAAATACCAGAGAAGGTAGTTATTAAGATTTAATGTCGACTTCAGTATTTTGTATCATATCTTTTTATTGCACTCATAAAATATTATAATATATAAGGTCATAGGTGCAGCAGACTGTTGATATAACGATACCACTTAAATGGAACTTAGACCAAGCACCAAGATGTACTGTAACTTGTAAGTACCTATCTATTGTTTATTTAACTATTTACATAATATGTTAGGTACCTACTTACTTAATAATAGAGAAATATTTTTTATTTGTTGGTTTATCAAATGTATACACTAGCTGTTGTAATAGGTAGGTATTAGATATTATACATTGCTGACATCAATATTTGCTAATTATAAATTATGAAGTCAAATTACGTTGCGGTTTGATGAGTAGGTACAAAAAGTGTGTTGTTGTCCTATTACTTTACCTAATGTCTTTGTAAATTTTTGTAAATATCTCTGCTCGTTTGCATTGTCAGGTGGCTGAGATTGATTAATCATAGGTTGGGGTGTTTATGACTTTTTTCATACTTTCTTCTTTAACACTTTCTTCTTTAACACATTCTTCTTTCTACACATAGCACATTGCAGGATAAGTGATACATTCGTTTTGTATGACATAGAATGAGGTACGTTAAATCTTATTTTGCTTATTTTTGCATACTTGGGATGCAATAGTATTTTCTTAATATCTCAGAAAAATAAATTTTCAATAGAAAATACTAATCAATTAAATTAATTTTCAATATATGCACCCTTATACTTCACTACAGCAATTTGTATTATCTGACAATCGACAAAAGTTCTTGTTCGAAAACGTAAAAAAATATTCGAATCATTCAAATCAGTTTAGAGAGTAGGTAGGTTGTTACATACCTGGGTATGTAATAATAATTAGCCAAAAAATAGCATTCAAATTATTTTTATCTATACACTGAAATGTTTTTTTTTCTGCAGAATTTAATCAAAAGTGAAACGACAAAATCAGAGGCGGTAGAAGAAAACAATATTTTTCGATGCATTTTATAATGTCATACTGATTTAATGTTTTAAGGGTGTGCTTTAATATTTGTTGTGCATATTTGTCTACATTTTTTTTTCTATAGAGTTCTTAAGCTCATTATTAACATCCTAACCCTATTAATCATTATACATTTATACAACTATACAAGATAATAAAGAATCATTCTAGCAGTTCAAATATGACGAAGACACCAAAATTATTGTTAATTCGTCATCGTTATGATGCGCGAAACTGACCTATATAATGTGTTACACAAAATATACGATTCACGCAATGACGGACACTTTGTCGAGAATTCGCAAAAGATAACTAACCAGTGTGTAGCATCTCATGGTGGGTGGGTGTGCGAAGGGGGAGTAGACCGAGATCATCGCGTGCTGCAGGGTCTCGCAATTCGAGGCTCTGAGGTCGCTCGGAATCCATCTCGCCCGCGACGACGGAAATCCCGGTCGAACGGCTTTTGTGGATGATCGACGACGATAAGCCGGAAAAACTACAAAGGGACCGACCAGGTTTGCTGCAGACTTACTACTGTGCCGGTGGCGTTATCGTACGACACATACACGCATATAAAGGACAAGAGTGGCCTTTGATGTGGTATTTCTCGGTGAGGCCAAAGGGATTTGGATGCGGATGTATATAATATATTGGAGAAAAGGCACAAAGCGCCCACGACGTGGTCTTTGTATAGATTTTCGTCATCGCTTCCGCTACTTCCCGCGAAATGTGTTGTGTAGGGACAAGTTTTCCTCAGAAAATTCATTTACACCGTGCAGGGTAGTACACGCTATACTATCGTATGTATCATATAAATATGTATTGGGTAGGTACCTACGTTATAATAATTTTGATTTTTACTATTCATCAGATGTATATTATAAGATTACACAATTGGCTGGGGGGAAAGTAAGTGATGATATTAATTTTTAATTCAGTTAAGTATATTTTTTTCTTCAAATAACCAAATGGACTTTTTTAAAACGTCAATAAAGTGTAAAATTATAAGCCAAAAAATACAATAGTTACCTATAGGTACCTAATTTAACTTCAATTAATAAATTAAGTATTAAAACCAGTAAGAATAATTTATTACAAACTTCAATGCATAAGGACAGTATATTATTATAGTTTAAACTTACTTCGAAAATTGTGTTGTATATGTTTATCGATACCTTATATAAAAATGTGACAAGTTGTATATGTATATCTCAAAAAATAAGTATAATGGTCGTACTAATTAAAAAAAAAGTATTTTCATCGATATTTTGCCAGTTTATATTTATATTAATTAGGTACCGCCTTGAGCTAAATTTGGATGTAATGTTGGTCTTACTATACTTCTCAAACTTGTCGAATAGTTTGTATTCTAGTATTCACATGCATATATTGTCATGCAACAAACAGTTAAAATATAGAAAACCAAATGACGTAAGTTGAAAGAGTTCTATAAAATACCTAACACATGGCTGTATGGATTTATCATATTATAATTTATAATAATTATCGTCTATGGCATGTGGAAATTATCAAAAGATGATAAAAAAAATAAAAAAATAAATAATAATAATAATAATAATAATAATTCTAAAATGTCATCCAACAAAAACATATAACTCGTAAAACCATACGTGAGTATGTGTAATATT